TGCTTCGGGCATTCACCCGTTTCATGTGGCACTAACAATGGTGGGACATTCAAGACTTTGCTCGTAGTTGTGTAGCACGCGGTGAGCTAAAGAAAACTCGGAATGCTGCATAACAATACAGTGGCTGAATACCTGAATGAGAGAGTTGGTGTGGGTACAACAGGATGACAACGAGATAGATCAGGTGTTTAGTTAAACCCAGACCTGTTAGTGGTATGGGACTATTCATCTCAATCAATCAGCATTATGTAGAATTATGCAAATACGAGAGACGAGGTATGGGCACAAATACATCCTAGTTATAGTGCAATATTTCATAAAATGGCGGAAGCCTATGTCTCACGAACGAACTGGTGCTTATAGTGTCGCTGAAGTTTAGTTCACCTGTTGGATTATCATCATGAGGGGAGACAGAACCATCATATTCTGACCAGAGAACTTATTTCAAAAATCTGGAACTACAGCATTTCATTCTGAAGGCCACGGGTTTGAAGAACTTCCGAATTGAAACCTTAAGACACTACTTAAAACATTTCCGGAGGCAGATTAGCATCAGCATGTGATGCTTTGTTACAACGGTGCCTATTAACTTGCTGGAGTGGCACATATTTGTTTGCTGAAAAAACACTAAACATTCTGGAGGCCAATCGTGAGTTATGCCCACCCATTGATACTTTACAGGTTGACGGAATTCTCTTACACAGCCTCTAACTTATTAGTTCTCGCGTACCAACAACAAAGCAGAAGCCAATATTTGATCGTCCAAACTAAGTGATATATTTCGGGACCAAAACAAGCCGTCAAACGAACGCTTAGCTAGCTAGTGATTGTGCACGTGACACGACGGGGTACCAAATGACGGAGATGCTTGTACGGAAGCCTTCAGCTAAACAAGTCAACTTAAACAGTAGTGGTCAGCATCCAATGGTGAGTGGTTGCTGTGGTCAATAATTTTGGGGAATTATTTACCGCTACAGTACGTTCACTAATGAGATATCTCTGAATGTTCTGGAAATGACAATGAAACTACAGAGGAATAAAGGCAGGTAAAGTAGTTTCACAAAAGAAGGACTTCAGAGGGCACAGGAGAGGTGAACATAGTATTACGACAGGACTAAATGAGGAAGAACATCAGAAGCATGTGGTAGACCATGGATTCGACAAACAGGGAACGAGAACGGACGTCGAAGTAAGTCCTAAATGCAGTGAACCAGCCTATGTACACTGAACCGCCTAGTAACAAAAATATGTATGAAATGCATGAAAAAGAGAATAAGGATACAGAGAGTATAATAGTACGTTTTGATTAGTCTAAACTGTGCAGACAAAACGGATAGACCCCGAGTATTAGTAATGTTCCTATTGATAATCACCATAACCAGGAGTGACGTATCAGAAGGAAGAACCAGAGATGTGGCAAATGAGGAAAGCTTTTTTAGAAAGAAGGTAATGTGGTAATCGTTGTCCGAGGATCATAGGACGGCATCCGGAGGTTTCAAACAGCCTAGTTTGTTTTGTTGTATGAAATTGATTGCCTTTTGTGACTGCTAAAGTTACCTCTACCACTGTCAGCCACGTCTCATAAACCGTTAATGCCCAGTTCTTGCTGCATTCGGGCTCACACTGTTCCTTGAAGTTTCTCAGAAACGCTTAGTAATAACGGACGCAAAAACCAAAACACCAATTGGCGACTCGAGGATTCTTTATTGTAACACCAACATATAAACACTGTTACAACTAAGGTCTGTAAACAAATATTACAATAATAAATCACAATATTACTTCTGACAGTTGTCTCCTGACTTCTTTCTGAACAGCGACCGATGAGACGATGACTGTCGTATTGATGCCTCCACGAAAATATAGGGAAGTTGGTTTTGAGCAAACAACCATGAATTGATCGTTCAATCTTCAACTACATTGACAACCATTATCTGTGGATTTCTACTCCTATACATATGGCTGTAGCGTTGCATATTATACTGTGGATGGCCTTTAACATAGTTGCACTATCATTTCTGACTAAGGTCAGTGACACTGAATTTGATGACATTCAACATTCTGCACTTTAGATTTTACATGTAACTCAGGCATTTGATTTATTTAGTTACTATTGTCGTTCCGTTTTTCTGAGAAGACATATGCAGCCAAGCTGTGTTCGAAGTGATAGTAATACGAACAAATCCTTCTGATTTTATATTGTCTAACAAATGGTCACCCAGAAGTCATAAATAGTTGCTTGACGCCAAATGTGCGTCGGTGGCACAGTGGTTAGGACTCTCGCCCACCATGCACATGGTCCGGGGTTCGAGCCCACGCCGGCGAACACCTGATATCTATGGTCGGCCTGCGAAATTTGGGCTACCGATATCCATGCTGAAAATTCCATACTTGTACCAAAAATACAGTGTGGAATCAAGCTGTAAATCTAGAAAAAAATTTGACTGAAATCAGTAGTTGGATACCACGCACATCGACCAGAAGTGCTTGCTAGCTAGATTGAAGTGATATAAACGCTAAATGGTCATTTCTCTGTTGAGGAGTTGATCTCACTTGTGGCATATCCGGTTCGACTCAGCCCAGAGAGTTCAGTCATTTCAATCTCTCCAGCTTCCAGCAAGTTACCTGGGCTCACAGGTAATACATTCGATTAAATTCGAAATTTAAACAGTTTAAGGTGAAATTTCACCAAAGTTTCCTTTGGGTTGGTGTAAGTGGTAGCCAACTACTCATATCAATAAATCAGTAGTATGTAACACCATGGATCTGTTCTTACATTCCTAATTAACATTTATGGTAGTAAGCAAATCGCATTTTATGATCTAAATAATTTCAGTTGCCCATGGAAACTGGTGAAATTTCACCGCCTAGAACTGTGTAAATTGTGAGTCGCGGACTTAATCATGCCCTAGCATTATATACGAGTTTCTGCGAGTTAATTACTGTCAGTCACTTTTATAGTCAATCCTTGTTCATCTTATTATCCTCTCTACCTCCTGTTCCCCAAGTATCCATCCATTTCCCCCATTTTATGGTTTTGTAAACAATCTCGAGAGGAATTGATAGATTGAACTGAATGATTGACTGTTGAACCTTTCGTGCGCACATTCTAAGCTTTTCTCATCGTGAAGAAAAATAAAGTATTTATAATCCCTTTAACCACCATTAAAAATTCTGTAACAGAAGCTTGAAAATAATCCTGGAGCAGTCAGTCACGCTATTCATCATGAAAACAGTTCACATACTACGTTAAATTGGTTAGTCTTCATTTGATTTCTTCACCCGTGTTTACACATTAAAATTATCCATTATGTTTAACTTTGGAACTTTGTTACCATATTTCAGGAGGTTATAAGGCCATATACATGAACCTGTGAGAATACAGCTAAATTAACAAATTTACTTAGATTATGGAATTTATAGGGGTTTGGACCAATTTTTTGTTTAGATTTCATCGTGAACAGGTATCACATCATTGATAACTACTGGGTGGATGTCCTTAGGCTGTTGTGAGAAGTTGTAATCAATGAGGTCTATCCTGTCCAGATGAACAAGGGTGCTCACTGAAGGCATCTGTAAGAGTAGTGTTATATCCCTTACTTATAGAAGTTATAATCGATGAATCATTGGCTGGATGGTCAACAATTTTGGTCCCATAACTTGAATTTCCTAGATTCAATACCTAGTAAGCATCTGTGTATGATCTTCCGAAGAGTCCTAAAATAGGATGAAACAAGTGTTCAGTGTTCTCTGGTTTTCAATGTCCTCTAATTGGTGTTGAATCTTGACGAAGTCTGACAATTGAAATTAAAAAAAAGTGTACACCAGCTCAAACTCTTCTTTACTCTAATTGGTTATACAAGGTTATTTAGAGGGACGGTACTTCGTTGTGATGTGGCTGCTGATAGTAAGAATTTTTTTTGCTTTGACACTAGTAACTAGTGTGATGCGTCTAGTCCTCTGATTGGCGTAGACTGAATTCTATCAGTCAGGTTGTAATGTGACCACCATTCTAGCTAGCTCACCATCACGGTGTACATTGATTTGATGGTATTAGAATGTTGGAGGCAATCGGCTACAGAAAGCCTTGGACCTAGGTTTCGTGCTAGTTGGCACTCGTCAGCAAGGCGTATCTGCAACCTTGAAGGAACTCATGTCCTTTCTGAGATTCGAACCCGCGTCACCCAGTGCTGCCTGCAGTCAGAGACATTACCACTGAGCTATTCGGGCTCGCGATTGACCTCCTGTAGGACTGTAGAAGGGACATGAGTTCCTTCAAGGTTGTAGATACGCCTTGCTGACGAGTGCCAACTAGTACGAAACTTAGGTCAAGCAAGGCTTCCTGTATCCGATTGCCTCCAACCATCTGATAGTTAGAATTCTCCACCCCACCTAATGTATGATGAAAGTAACCCTTTTAAAATGACAAAAAATATTTTTTCTTTTTTGTAAAAATAAAAGATTTGTGTGTATATCTTCACCACCAAGAGAAAATAACAAATAAACAATAATAGTATATAAGATAGTAGCAATAAATTGTTACAAAAACAGTTACTACTGTTACTGACGTGAGTAGTAAGTATTATCAAAAAAGGGATAGGAATGGAATCTTTTTTTTTAGTAATCTGATAAAAAATAATGTACATAACATTAAAAATATCACAGATGTTTTGTTTTGTTTGTTTTTTCAACAAGTAACGCATTAAAAATTCAACAAGAAACTACACAGCTGTAGACTTTGAGAAGACAGATTACACAGGTCAATTGTTGATTCTTACCAATGTTTTATAAAGTGTAGGAGAGTATAAAAACAAAGAGATACTTGTCAAAGCAACATACTGTCGATAAAACAAACAAACAAACAGCCAAGAGAAAGTAAACAAAAATAATAACTTCTAAGGTTTTCTCATTGTTTTAATCATTTACACTGACATTATTCAATTGGTTAGCTCCCTGTAAATTGAACAGTCTAGTTTTATAAATACAAAAACAAAATCACTTTATTGGTCATTTAATAAATGTTGTAATTGAAAAACGAAGCTGCGCGCCAATTCAAGCAGTGTTATAGCATCATGTTGTTCCGTTAATTCTATAATGAAATAAACACAGAGGAGAAAAAAAGCTACAATAACAAGTTGATTGAAGTAACCTGAAGGCATTTCGTATTATTATATTGGATGGTTTAACGAAAAGAAGGTTTATCCTGTTGGAGATTGTGGAAATTGAATAGATTTATAAAAGATTTAAGAGATGTGACAGTGAGGAGGATTTTCTGCTTTTTCATGATTCATTTTCAAAATTTTCTGTACACTTGTATTTAGGTAACCTCTAAACTATAGAGACGCAAAACAACTCCACTTAGTAAATAAAGGTAATTGGCCTTGATCAACCAATCGGATCAGCCTATAGTAAATGCGCGTAATTTAAAAAAATTCCTTTGTAAACATCATGGTAAGTTTCGATAAAGAAAGGAAGACGAAATTTGCAGTATAAAACGATATCATTCTATTTCACAGGTTCTCATCAGCTGCAGACTACCTGAAATTACAATGGTTATATAGATGATAATAACATACTTTAATGTTCGAGTGGTGGTAGAAAAGAGATACTATAAAATTGACGCATCTAAATGAAAGCATTACAATGTTTTTAGTTTAAGTTTTCATTATCAATTTATACGCTTTTAAAGTTGAAAAGAGGGGGAGGGGTAAGACAGAAAACAGAAAAAATTGATAAACAGAACAATGTCAGCATGTAGGTTCACATAGCAACTCAAGAAACAAAAACGGTTACAGTTTATGAGATTAAGATTTGTTCAGTGAGTTGAGATCACTGAATTAGATGACTAATCAAAATCAAAATTCTGTTACCAAGGGAGTGAGAGGTTAATCACACTCTCTTTCTGTATGCATAAGTCTGGTTTAAGTCTTTTGATTGCGATTGCTTCGGCAAATCGTAGTAAATTTGCTGTCCTTTGTCTATTTAATATTTTGAAGGACTTAGAAGTCTCTACGAGATGTCCGGTATCAATGCTTTCATTTAGATGCATCAATTTTTTAGTATCTCTTTTCTACCACCACTCGAACATTAAAGTATGTTATTATCATCTATATAACCATTGTAATTTCAGGTAGTCTGCAGCTGATGAGAACCTGTGAAATAGAATGATATCATTTTATACTGAAAATTTCGTCTTCCTTTCTTTATCGAAATTTATCGAGGGAACCAAATGTATGAATCATGGTAAGTGTTATAAAATAGAGTTATACGGGGGTACCCTTTTCGTATGTGTCTAAAGTGAACCTAATTCTCTATTGAAGTTTTTAGTGATAGTCCAAACGTATTCATTTAGATAACTGCATATAATTCTGTTTCGTGACTCATTCATTGCTCTACAGCACCCATGCATGAACTTAAAAAAGGAACGACATACCTACTCGGATAGATATTTTGTAACGACAGCCTACACATTCGCACATTAATAGCGGAGGCGTACCTCTGAAAACATATTACTCCTCCACATCTACAAGCTTCCCATAGCCTTATTATCCTGACAGTACTCAAATAATACCTCTTGATGGAGTTTACAACGTGATTCGTGTACTGCATCTACATTTCCGCCTATGTCGTACAAACTCATCTGGTTAGTTGACCAAGGTCATTACGTCCGTCTATTAGGTTTCGGTCACTATAGTTTGGAGTCGCCCACATTTATTATATTCAATAGATAACTCCAAAAAATATCAAATCAGATACCGGAAATTATATCCTAGGAAGTGTTTCGCGTAATTTAAAGTGTATAATTTAGAAAGAAATGCACAAATGGAGGGGGGGGTTAAAAAGTGGAAGTTAGTTCTATATAACAGTTGAAATGAATTTTGAGTTATAAATATATCAATCACTGAATTATTTGCATAAAAAAGAGTTGTAGCGGTAAATAATTCCCCAAAATTATTGACCACAGCGATCATCACTGAACATTGGACGCTGACCTTCATTGTTTAAGTCGACTTGTTTAGCTGAAGGCTTCCGGTCGAGCATCCATGCCATTTGGTACTCCGTCGTGTTACGTTCCTGCACGATCACTAGCCAGTTAAGCAATCATCTGGCAATCCGTTTTGGTCCCGAAATATATCTCGTAATTTGGACGATCAATTCTATTGTTTTGCTTAGCCTTTGGTCCATGAGAAACGAATACTATAGAATTTGTTGGTATAAGATCTTGGCGTTAGTATACTCCGTACAATTCGCAAACGTCAATACCGTCAGCCTCTAAAGGGTCATCAGTGGTTCTAGATTCTTAAGCCTTGAATTTGCGTCCATAAATAATTCCTCAAAATTATAAGTTTGCAGTATTCTTCACTCAATATTGGATGCTGACTTTCACTGCATACGTTGACTGGTTGAGCTGAAGGAGTGAACTCAAGTACCCACGGCATCTAGAACTTTATCTTGTTACGTTTGATTGTTTATGCACGACTCTTGGCTAGCTAAGCAGTCATCACTGATGTAAATTACTGATCCTGGAATATATCTCGTATTCTGGACGAGGAGTTTGTTGTTTCAACTTGTCTTCGGTCTAAGCAGAACAAATATTTTGGGGGGGTTGCAGGATAAACATTTGGGTATATATATAGGGTATCTTCTGTAAAGGTCAGAGTCCTTCATCACCTAAATTGGTTTGTCTGTGTACATTTACCACCTCCGAAAAGTAGAAATATAACTAGTCTTCTTACTTGAATGAGATCTGTGTTAAGCTTTGTATTCAAATCGACATAAACGCATTCATTCGTAACCAAATCCACGTTGACTTGTGTGGTAACAAATGGAACATCTGTACGTCTTAGTGTCCAACTTAATGATTTCATGGAACTATATGGTCTTCATCAGTACCGTAAATTAAGACAGCTAAAATTCAGTATGTGCGTCGGTGGCACAGAGGTAGAGTACTCACCGACTACGCTTCACGTGATTCGGGGTTCGTTTACCCAGCCACCAACGCACTCCTTTACCTCGCTAAGCCAGTAATAAGACTGGTAAAGACGGAAGGTTGGGCATGAGGCTAGCAACTCCATCCCATGAAAATAAGCACCACTGCTACCGAAACTTCAAGCCTATAGCCTGAAGCCCGATATTCCAATGGGAACCTAAAGGAATAAAAAGAACATTCAGTATGGTGCTGAGTTCTATTTATTTTTTGAGTTTATATCAGCCTAATTAAACTTCAATTTGCTAGGCAAATGACTATCTAAAGTAACATACAGTTATTCAACAACCACTTGTATCTTATAAAATTGACAATGAGCCAAACTAATTGTATGAAGGATAGTGAAATTATCTAACTGCGCAAACTACCGTAGATGGAGTAGAGTTCAAATTTCTTACCCTGTGGTTAAAAGTCTACCTAGTAGACACTAATAAACCACAACTATCTGAAGTATGTACCATTAGTTGCACTACGCATCTTTCATCTTTCTAACCAAACCTGCCTCTATCTACTTTGGAAGTTTCACTGATATCAACTAAATTTTCACTACATATTGAAATTATTTAGTAATTTTTATTGAAATTAAAAGGACGGCTGTTTTATTATACTTTAAGATAGTTCAGTTGCATGGAACAGATTTCTTATGTTCCAGGTTGCAAGCCATACAAATATTGGCCAACGGCTGATAATACTAACCCTTTACCAGAGCTGAACTATTGATCGAACCTGGGACCTATGGGTTGAAAGTTGATTCCTTACACCAACAAGTCATATCGAAATAACTTGTCTAGGTATTGATTGAAGAGATTTAAGCTAGAACAAAATACACATGTAGGTTTTTGCTCAATGTTCATTGGTTAGCTGGTTACTATTGTTTAAAATTCTATAATAGCTTGTTATTGTATTCATAATTTTTTTATTCCTTCACGTTCTCAATCGAACATAGGGCGGCTTCAAGCTAGAGTCTTGAAGTTTCGGTGGCAGTGGTGATTATTTTTACAGGATGGGGTTACTAGCCTCATGCCCAACCCTCCGTCTTTACCAGTCTCATTGCTGGATTAGCGAGGTAGAGAAGTGCGCTGGCGGCCGAGAATCGAACCCCAGATCACGTGAAATGTGGTCGGTGAGTACTCTAACACTGTACCACCGACCCACATCGTATTCATAATGATTTTGTAAAATAAATAACTTTGTTTGAATTACTTACCATTATAGAATCTAATAATCTCTGTTACATCCATATCATAATAGATAATAATATCACGATAATATTCAAGTAAAGCCAATGCAAAAAATATACCAAAATCATACGACACCAGTCTACGTGATGCCCATATTGTTTCCCAGACAGGAAATATGTCATCGTATTTCAATTCTATCAATAAAAGATATAAAGTAATAAAAAAAGTTGAATAAAGGAAAGTTATTTAACAGCGAAAATAATATTTTACTGGCTATTTGACAGAACTTTGCATAAAAGTGAGACAACTCAAATTTCCGATAGGTGCTACCGTAACATGATGGTAGGGTTTGTATATCAAAATGACTCAGTAATCCTATGCTGGCTACAGTTGATGTTCCTTGCTCAGCCTACCATGCCAGAAAGGCCGTTTGGATAGAGGTTAGACCAAACGCGTAAGTCGTTTTTACCATAAAAGGGGTCTATGGGCGAAGTCGTACTCTGTTAGTGAGCAAGGATGCGACAAGAGTAAGGTGTTTCCTTTAGATGATCAGAATACCAGTTAAGCTGTTTCCTCATTAAAGACGAAAAAGAGGAATTAGGGTTATAGAAATTCAATACTGAAAATCCTACATCCTGACTTACTCTACGGTGTTACATAGTCGGCGGTAGGATTTTAATATGAGCACAACTCGAAGAAACCATTTAAAACAGATCGTGTGTAATAGACCTCAAGAAGTTATTCCCTGGATGCTGTGTTCACAAAATACTAATGCTAATTCTGTCTTATTACAAGAAATTGAAATTATTGATTCCTGAACGAATGAATATTGTTCTTGTCTTATTTCTGCATTTCAATGAACACTTTAAATTTAGAAATTAGTGTAAATCATCTAAGTAGGTCTGCTCCAGGCACCAAAAGGGGGACCTTATTGACTATTCAGTCAACTGGGTCTGAATTCAATGACTTGTGAATCTTTATTTTATTAGTTCTTGCATATGGCACTACACCACTAACCAATTTCATCAATCTGCATCCACTTTACCTTAATATGGTAGCTGCCGGTGACTTGGAAATAAATATTTAGATTATGCGTCTTGTGGAGATTAGGATTAATTTCAATGTGGATTTCATCACGAACCAATTATTGAAAACTGGGGAGTACTAGAGAGCCGTTTCTCTCTCTACCACTTCACCCTCTTAGAAATAGGGAGTGAAATGCTACAGCATGTTGACAACTTCAGTTATTTGTGAAGTTGTATCAGCCACAACGGGTTGATCGCTGACGAAATCTCAGAATAGATACAGAAGGCTAGTTTCGCATATGCGAGTTTACGCCGTCTCTAGCGTAGACGTGATATCCAGCTGGCTGTACTGCTCAGCATTCAGCTCCTCCTTTATGGCTGGCTGTGAGACATGGCCATTGAGAGTGGAAGACATGAAAAGCCTGGCTAGCTTTCTTTCACCATAGATGCCTGCGTTCTATATCCCGAGTTAAGCGGTATAATAGGGTGATCAATATTGAGGTTAGGCGTCAAGTGCTAGGTAAGAAGGGTAAATCAATCGACGAGGCTATGAAGTTACATCGATTGATATGGCTAGGACGTGAGTCATGCATGCCTAGCCATCACCTTCCTCGACAGTGAGCAATGTTAGCTGACATAGGGTCAGGCTAGAAAAGAGCTAGTGGTGGCCAAACCAAAACATGGCGTCAGTCAGTGAAATCCAAAACAGTTAGTTTAATCCACGTAGGAAGGTGGTTGGGGTCCTCGGGATAGTAAACACCAAAGGTTGGAGGCAACTGGTGATATGGCTCAAAATCGTTCTCAATGGCTGGTGCAGATACATTCACTCCTCGTGACATATAATTTCCTCTTTTTTTCTCATATCCCTGTCTACTGTCTCTATTTTGCATTTCTTCTACTTTCTCCCCCTGCTTTGTGTGCTGAGTGAAGTGTGACAACTTGAACTACTGCACACCGGTGCAAAGTTCTATGTTGAAACCAGACAGACAGATTCTTCATCAGTACATATCCGTAACTACACCAGGGATCGATAGTAATACTATTAGTGAATATCTTACAACCAGTGGGCAAGTACTTTCAAACCATTATATATGAAATGGGTACGGAAGTATATTGCCGTAACAGATATGAATACAAATCAGAGTCAAACGCAGTTCAGTACTGATTGTTTTCGCAGCTTTAAGTTAAATTTGTCGATGAATTCTTGTACTTTGTATTAATGTATTAGAATTTAATTGACGAATGGTGACTAGCAGTGGAATCCAGGATGCACATTTCGTCCTATTTAGGACCTGTCATCTAGATGTACCTGCCTTCCCCATTGAGTGATGATATTCCCACCGATGCTCGAACCCAGTGCCAATAGTTTCAAATGCCATGGCGTTATCCACTAGACCACTTGGACTACGGCAGCCAGCCACCTCTTGTGCAACGGGTCATATTAATTATTCATTACATGCCCAGACAGTGTCGAAGCATCTGCAAAAGAAGCTGACATGTCAACCTGAGGCCGAGCACTTCGGTTCAATCAATCGATGGAAAAATCTAAAATTCAATTCAATTAAATAATTGGTATTAATTTCAAATCTTTAAATATTCCCGTTTATAATATTAGAACAAGACATATAAGCGAACAATACTGTTGTTTTCAATTAGATCTTCAGGCTTTACCCTAATTTACATAGACTTATATATAAAAAATTTTAACCAATGACGGTGATTTTGTGGATCAAATAATAATAATGTCGTAACTGTTTTGAACGAAGTTAATAACGATGATTATAATGATAAAAAATATTGATAATAAGGTTTATACAGGTGATAAGAATAACAAAGATACTATATGCATATATGTGTATATGTAGACAATTCAATAAATAAATAAATTAAGGTCAAATCAAATGGAACGATAATCAAAGTTTAAATAAATATCATAAAAGTACGAAGGAGATGGATGATAAGAAAGGGTAGGAGGGTTTTGAATAGAATTCACATAGGCCAAGGGAGAAACAAAGGTAGAACAAATTTCTTTTGTATACAAAGACTAGGATTGTTCTCTCGAACTCCCATAGATTCGGCTAAGTGCTCAAGTGAAAGATAAGCTACCTAGCTGTGCCACTTCTATGTGTATCTATAAATTTAGTTGCTCTTGTGGAGAAAGCTGTATAGGCCGAACAACTAGACAGCTTAACAAACGCATTAATGAGCATCTTCCTTCATGGTTCGGAAAAGGTCAAATAAAATCCATACGAAGTTCTATTTTGGCTCATTTGATTGATAGTGGTCACCAAGTGGACAAAAATAGTGCCTTCAAAGTTATCTATCGCAATCCATCGAATCTTTCGAACGGAATCAGAACCCGTCTTTTACACTTAGCCGAATCTATGGGAGTTCAAGAGAACAATCCTAGTCTTTGTATACAAAAGAAATTTGTTCTACCTTTGTTTCTCCCTTGGCCTATGTGAATTCTATTCAAAACCCTCCTACCCTTTCTTATCATCCATCTCCTTCGTACTTTTATGATATTTATTTAAACTTTGATTATCGTTCCATTTGATTTGACCTTAATTTATTTATTTATTGAATTGTCTACATATACACATATATGCATATAGTATCTTTGTTATTCTTATCACCTGTATAAACCTTATTATCAATATTTTTTTATCATTATAATCATCGTTATTAACTTCGTTCAAAACAGTTACGACATTATTATTATTTGATCCACAAAATCACCGTCATTGGTTAAAATTTTTTATATATAAGTCTATGTAAATTAGGGTAAAGCCTGAAGATCTAATTGAAAACAACAGTATTGTTCGCTTATATGTCTTGTTCTGATATTAATTTGTTAATATATGTTAATTAAAAAATGAGTTAAAAGAAAATATATTGTTTCGCAATTTTCAATATTGAATTACCTCTTTTGAAGTCTAATAATAACCAACGATATGAGAAGAATAATTGTCCTTCAGGTACTTTTTTCGATAAATGCTGATTCATTTCTGGATCAAAAATCTAATAATTAGAAAACAAAAAAAAACAAAAGTAAATGAAGGATAGAACAGTTCCAATAAGCAGAAAAAAGAAATCTCATCGCCTATCTTGTGATGAGAATCTACTGTATATGCACTGAAGAGTCATTGAATGAGGACTTGGAATCCTTCAGAAGGACTCTAGTCAAAAATCGATATCTAACCTCCTTCGTCAATAAACATCTAAAGATAAAGACCGATACTCCTCAAAACCTGGATGTGCAAGAAAAACAGTTGATTGTAAATCTGAAATTAAAGGAAGATACAATTAGGGACCTTATCCAAGGCGCCCTGTTGAGAGCGATTCCAAGAACGTTCTTTGCTGCAACCCTATGTCCCACCTTCATCATACTCATTCCTTTTCATCAAAACATCAAAGAAAAGTATAGTGGTAATGTCTTTAACTGCAGTACTGGTTGACGCGGGTTAAAATCTCATAGGGTCAAGAGTTCTCTCATGGTTGTTGATGAGTGTCAACAAGTATGAGACCCAAGCCCAGGGTTTCCTGCTGATTTCTTCCAGCCATTTAGCAACAAACTGAGGTACAACAAAGTCACTTCCCGATTGATAGATTAGAATGTCAACAATAGGTTAAGAGATATGATAAGTGATACACACTGGAACATATATCTGGGTTACAGAATCTACTGAATGATGAAGATAAGATCACTACACCCTTGTCTGGACGTGAAGTCTGTCTTACTCACTTGAGTTATTTTGTAAAGACCCATTGAGTTAACGTCCGATTATGGGAACTATTTAACCAAGCTAATCCCCATACAATCATATATAGGCGAAATCGCCACAAGAAGAGTGAAGTGTTTTCTCACAAAATAGGATAATCAATAACCTACACCAGTTTGAAGCAACTTAGATTCGTTAATATCTTAGTTAGCGTAGTCAATATATATTCATCGCTACCAGCCTTGAGCACTTATGAATTCCTTCTAACAGATGATGTTACCTTATCATGTTGTCTTGTTTCTTCTAAGAATCTATGAAAATCGTATTATTCTTGAGGATTATTGCATTTACAACACGAACTATCCAGACTTCATTTCTCTAAAGGAGCCTAAACAGTTGACAGACATCTCATTTATTGTGTTGATTCTTTTCGCATTTTATTCGCTTGCATTATTCACCACTGTTCGTGGAGTTTGTAAACGAAAAAAAACAATTAAATAACATGTGTCACATTTAATTTTATTCCCATAACACCTTCACAGTTCATAAACTCTTAAAGAATCAATAGGAACTGACTGTGATATTTTCAGCACTAACTAACTACAGACGAGTGTTACAACTACAGGAAGAAATAAAGGTAAAGAGATGTAGAAAGTGAATAATGCTATACATGAATTTGGTATTCACAGGCGACTTTATGGCCAACACATCCTAAGGAGAAGAATATCTCATTCCCTGAAAAGAACATTCACTGCTACTACATTACGACTCGTATTCTCAAGCTGCCCATTGTTCTTCAACAAATCCAAAGATAAGCTATCGTATTTGACCACTTCTGTGTACATCTACCCAACTATGAAAGTTCGTGTACTGACCGTTCCATGTTGGTTTCCTGTAGATCAACCTTTGAACACAACCTTCAGGTCTCCTTTTTTATAAAAACATCTAAAAATGGAAATCCGAGTTCATCTCTGATTCTGATGTGAATTGACTGGCAGCTGTTGAACTCTCTACTCAATAATAGACTACTATACATTTCTGTTAAATCTAAATACAACTGTACAGCCTCTGAAGATGATTTCGTGGTTCAACAAAATTTTCTTCGCTGAATTTGTCTTTTATTTTCTTCATAATAATAATTGTTCAAAATATAAGTCAAACACACTCACACAAATAAATTAAAACACTCACTTCTATTAATGATTGAAGGAAATGAAATCGCATATCCATACATGACATTTGTATACCATTTGTATTCAATAAAATTCTATCATATGGTGAAGTGATCTCGTTTGAAGTTAACTGTACAAGTTGTTGTTGTGGCTCAGATTGCTGTTGTTGTTGTGGTTGATCTTGTTTAGCATAGTCCTCACTCGTACTTCCATCATCGTCGTTGACGTCATCGACATGATCTAATCCATTCATCCCTGTGGTGGTGTACAACAGTGCTGAATCATCTTTTGTTTTATTCATCCAATGTAGACGTTGATGAGGATTATCAACAAGGCCGTGTTTAGTATGAATAATGTCTGTACCAACACCACCAGTATCTCCTTTACTGTGTACTGTAGTAGTCCGACGTTTAGCTGCTTTCACAGCCAGCTGTAACAATGTTTTACGATTTGTTGTTGTTGACGTCGTCGCTGTCGTCGTGGCAGTTGTTGTTGTTGTTACGGTTGTTGTTGTTGTTGTCGGAGATGTGCCAGTTGTGCTGTTGATTGTCTCATCATTCATATTATTATGTCCTACCACTTGTAGATCAACTGTTTCAGACAATAATGAAGTCGATGTTGATGACACTGATGCGGATGATGGTGATGGTGATGATGATGATTGACTGGTAGAATTATTATTATTTTTTATTAATGGAAAATTTGGTAACATCCATCGCATTAAACAAGTGAAACATCCAAATGATATAATTTCATCATTCATTATAATTAATATAGGCGCCAACAAATCACACATTCCTTGAATATAACCAACATCTAAATTTAACCATACCCATGTTGAAATAATATTACGTAATTTATATAAATTTGTACTTAATTCACTGAAATCATTTGAAGTGGAACTTGTAGATTTTTCTGAAAATGAAAAATATAGTGGGGGGGGGAATGCAGTTTATTTATTATTATTTATTTATTTAAACGCATAACAACTTGGTACAATATGGCACCAAGAAGGATGCGCCACACAATAATAATAAAACAACAGAGATCATAAGAAAAAAAGGAGAGAAAAAATGTATATAAGTAGAGAACGGATAAAGAGCTTCATCTGGAAGGAAAACAGTCGTGCTTAACAAGTTCAAACAGTATTCGTTAACTATCATCGAGAAGGGAAGAAAGAAGGAAATTGCAACACGTGTAATAGCACGCGATAAGTTTCATCGATTGTTTGTTGCTTCATTCAATTCATTGTGTGAGAGGGATGAGATACTGCTCGGGCGCCCAGACCGAAGCAGGTGGTTTTATTAAGGGACCACCCCCCCTCCAAGCCTTTGACTTGGAGTCTAATCCGCAAGGCAACGGAGAAGCGTCAGTAGCTGCATTCCCATGGTTTCCGGTGACCCATATGGGTTCATACGCCATTTGATCCGATTGGATACTGGAGCCCATGTACCCCATGGTAACTGCTTTTAGTTTAACCGCTATCCAAACAACCTTCCTGACATGGTAGGACCTTCAGGGACAGAGTCCCAGTCAGTTTAGCATGTTGGGTCATTATGGTATTCAAGCCCGACCACCACGATAAGGTAGCAGTTATCGGCCGCGGGGGAAATGCAGTTACTAAATGTTGATTAGCAGGGGTTTGATTAGTTACAAGTTTGCTCATGAGTTGAAATGAGTTAGAGAATTAATGGAAAGCCAGCTGTTTTGTCTTACCTTAGGACACTTCGGCAGTGCGCATCCAGTGGGGTTCAAACCCAGAACCTCCTAGTTACAGGGCAAGCTCTCAAACGGTTAAGCCACTGAGACCTGGGACAAATTTCATGGGAGACTTCACAATCGCGAATACTTACAACAATCAAAATATCACTGATGTAAACTGAATAGAAGGATACATGGATAGATTGGCATAATGATCAGAGGTGTTTAAAGGAAAATAAATAGTAAGGGATGAGTCGAATATTTCAATAATGAATCAGTTATACATATAATAATAATAATAATAACAGCTTCATCTTAAGCAAATTCAAAATCCCCATTAAGTCGTATAAAAGAAAAGACGTTCAGCAAAAAGTTACCTTTTTCGGCAATATCATTCTCAAGCCGTACAATCTAATATATGTATATATATATATCGTTAGAATAATAAATTTTAGATAACAAATTACAAAGAAAACCAACACCTTCTTCACAGCTGAACTTCGACTAACTTTCTGCATAAAATCAATGATTCGCATAAGCGTGAAGTATAAGCTACCCTGTGCTAGCCACACCAGTGTGTATCTATTAATTCACCTGATAGATTGGAGCTAGGTATATCGGCCATGAACAACGTTTGCTATGCAAACATATCATCGAACACTTACCCTCTTGGTTTTATACAGGCAAAAATAGTCACCCCTCCTGAAGCTCTGTCCTGCAACACCTGATCGAATCTCTACAGGAAGCTAACCCACAAAATAATTTCAAAGTCATCTACAGAATACGTGGAAATTTCGCTAGGAGGGTATGAATTGAACTTCTTCAAACGACAGAAGCAGTGGCGTTTCACATGGTTAATCCCGAAATCTGCATACAGAATTTTGTTTAGTCGGTAAATCTACAACGGACCTGATCTGTCTTAACACTGGTTATGTAACTTTTAGTTTTTGTATTTCAACTATATTATCCTCTTCCCTTGTCTCCTATTAAATTTCTACCCCTTATTACCTTTGTTCTAAAGTTGACTGGTGTTCAATGTAAGTTAAATTCTACTCAATTCCGTCAATTATATTTTGTCACTTAATTTGTTTATCTAGTTTAATTCTAGTATAAGGTGAGCAATATTGAGGTTAGGCGTCGAGTTCTAGGTTAGTAGGGGAAATCAATCGACGAGGTTGTGAAGTTACATCGACTGAGATGGTTAGAACATGTGTTACCTATGCCTAGTCATCGCCTTTCTCAACAATGGGCAATGTTAGCTGATATATGGTCAGGCTGAAAAAGAGCTAGCGGTGGTCAAACCAAAACATGGCTTCATCAGTCAATGAAATCCACAACAGTTAGTCTAAGCCACGCAGGAAGGTGTGGACTTTCTGGTTGGGGTCCTCGGGATGGTAAAAACCAGTGGTTGGAAACAATTGGTGACATGGCTCAAAATCGTTCTCAATGCATAGCTCAGATGCATCCACTCCTTTTGACTTTGATTTTAAATGAAACTATATTGTCCTTCGTTATTACTATTCCTTTGTCTCACACCTCTGTTTACTGTCTCTATTATGCATTTCTTCTACTTCTTGCTCTTGGTTTGTGTGCTACATGAAGTGTGGCGACTTGAGCTGCCACACATATGTGCGAAGTTCTATGTCGAAAACAGACAGACTAGTTTCTACCCGATTAATACTTTTTATATTACTTAATTTGTTATCCAAATATTTATAATTCTAATCACAAATCTTTGGAAATATCCCTTTTGTTGCTAAGATAATTTATTGCGTATATATTTGCGACTGTATAGCTTTAAAATGATATCATCGGTGGCTTAGCGGTTGGGACGCTCGCCGACCATGCACATGGTCCGGGGTTCGATCCCCGGCCGACACACACCTGATACCAAATTTGGGCTACCGATATCACATGCTGAAAATTCCATGTATTCCTGTATCAAAAATACTGTGTGGAGTCAAGCTACAATAAAAAGAGATTAACTTTGTTTCAGACGATGTGCTAACACATAATACAGAATTTTCAGGGTATTTAAATTGCGAAATATCTACTCTTCATATAATGTCTTCAAATAAAATAATACTCAGTAGTATATATTATTTTTAAAAAATTTTTTTATTGTAGCTTGACTCCATACAGTATTTTTGATACAAGTACGGCATTTTCAGCATGTGATATCGGTGGCCCAAATTTAGTAGGCTGACCACTGGTATCAGGTGTGCATCGACCAGGGATCGAACTCTGGACCATGTGCATGGTCGGTGAGCGTCCTAATGGCTATGTCGCTGTGTACTCATACCACTTCTTATTTAGACAGACTTGTTTACCTAGACAGAAATAATCGATCAACAGAATAGTAGGTTACATCATCAAAAGTTCAAATATCAGACCGAAGAGTAGATAGGTAACAATAAAATCATAAGACACCTACTCAAGGACAACAGAACAAAGTGAAGGTCACCAGAAGAGACAGATATTTCAACCAGAGTTCACTTCATATTGAAGTTATTGCTGAAGGGATTGTCCAGAAGGATAATGAATCCTTCTATAATCAAACCATTCATCTCGAACAAAACACAACAGTACCAGGAGAGTCTTCATACATTGGTGAGATTAGCTAACAAACTTTTCTTTGGTAATATTCAAGCATTGGTTTGTTAGGATTTGATTCACTGATTAGAGGATTTCATCATGAGCTGAAATCGGTTAGAGAACTATCGGAAAACCTAGCAGTACTGGACATCTGTTTCTTCCTAGTTTGGGACTCTTCATCGGTAGGTACCCACCGGAGTAATTCACTCATGGGGCTTGTATTTAATAAGCAATGCATATGTATGGCTTTCACAAACTCAACTCACTAGCCTTTGACAGCAGAGTTTTATATACTTTCCTCTCTCTTTCTGTTGACTTCTAAACAAATAGACAAAACCTAATTCATAGAATAGGTGATAATCACTGACATTATAAAAGCAAACGGCAATACAACTTACTTGGCGTCATAAAGAAGACATGATTCCGATCACATCTTGAAACATCCTTGTCGATTCGATATAAATTATCAGCGAATGCATCCAGGATATCTGACTGATTCAGAGAAAAAAACGTGACAGATGGAGTAGAAAAAAATATCGAAATATATTAAATTAAATTAAATCGAAATAAATAATACGCATGAAATGTATATATTTATATTTATATATAAGTTGTACATAAAATTCAAGATAAAATGTCTGACAGATGAATAATTCTTTTTCGATTTCTCAAAAATGGCTTCGAAGACTATAGATTTAAAAATATTTCCTCTTTAGTGTATCACACTGTCAAACACCTCAAGCAGTCTGGTTAAAGAAAACACCTTTGAAACTCCATTGAAATGTGGGGAAGCTACTGAACCTAATTCAGAAGCTTTGATTTCTGTTCTAAATAACTAGACTGTTGATGAATTCGAATTCAAATGATTAAAACAACCCTATTCAGTTGGTTACAGAATTTCATCATGAGTTGCTATCGGTTGGAGAACCATTGGAAAACCAGCCACAGGGACTACTGGACAGCTGTTTCGTCCCAGTTTGCTACTCTCCATCAGTACGCATCCTCAGGGCGTCTTTCCCAGGACCTTTTGATTACAAGGCGAGCTCGTAGACCATTAAACCACTAGGACCCAATCCAGTGATGGATATGTCTCACTTTTATTTATACAACTATCACATTCTTTTATACATGTGGATTATTTTTCACTGTATTATGCTGTATGAATTAGATGTGATAGGTTACTGGACAAGAAACGAACGAAACGGACAAACATTATCGCATTCATGTACAGAAATCACATTAGCATAGAGAAATGATCAGAGGGGAACTCATTGAAATTGCACCACCATTAGATTTTTACTTCCCTCTGGTATGATCTCAGGGTCCTTAAGGCCACACTAAGACGCAGGAGGGTAAGCTGTAGCAATAAATAATCCTCCAGAATTATTGGTCAACAGTAATCAATATTTCAGGATTGGGTGGTGACCTTCGCCGTTTGAGTCGACTTTTTAAAATCAAGATACATGGTCAGGCATCCATATCATTCGCTACGTTATCGTGTTAACTTTGGTTGTTTGTGCATGAAGTCTAGCCAGTTAAGCTAGCATCCTCACTATGCGATTTAGATCCCCAAATGTATTTCGTAGTTTGAACAATCATTCTGTTGCTCTGATATGTCTCTCGTCTCAGTAGAACAAATACTTTAAGAGTTACAGGATAAGCCTTTACATTTTTTATCCAGCGTGTCTCTCATAACCATCAACATTCCTTCACCTCCTAAAGTAGCGTCATCTTGAATTAGCAGACTATCACTGATATAATGGATGACTATCGAAAGTGAAGTGAAGGGATGTATGGTGACAAGTTTCGAAGTCACTGCTCCATCATTTGAATCACATGATTCATGTGTTATAGAAGCCATAAATTGATTGCAGTCATCATAGGTGATCCCCACCTCAATAAAGGAATAAACAGCTGGTAATAGTAACAGTCTTACATGCTTAGATTACATAAGTAATTAGACCACACCACTGTAAATATGGAGACTTGTATCCTCACTGAAATAATAACGCACTTCCCCTTGAGGGCCTACTTGGAATTATTTACAAACTAGTAGGACAGAGGGGATGCAGGTGAAAACCAACAAACTGGCTAAAGAAGCTGTCAGCGAAGACAGGACTCAAGGTGAAAACAAAGAAGACGGATGTGATGAAAATAACCAATCAAAGACAACAACAACAATCAGCACCAATCACCAACAATGGGAGACATTTAACAGAAGTCACTTCTTGCACTAACATAGACAGTATCGTTTCAACTACAGCTGACTCCACGGAAGAGGATGTCAAAAACAGATAGGATCGGAAAGGCAAAACAGACCTTCATCACTATGAAATCAGATTGGAAATCTAATGCAATCGGCATAAAGAATAGAATTTGGGTTTTCAACGCTAATGTTAAGTCAATTAAGTCTTCTATTTGGGTTAGAAACTTGGCGTGTCACAAAAGGAACTTCCAACAGGTTACAGACTTTTGCCAACATCTACTCGCTTCGCTGGTTTCATACTGAAGATAAAATGGCCAGCTCACCAGAAAGAATTAGCCACAGGAAACTATGGGAGGTGAAGAACGGACCAAGATCCGATGGCTCAACAAATATGTAGGAGAAAATGCAGCTGGATTGGGCATACTCTGAGAAGACCATTGAGTGACCACGCACCACGCCTTCGAGTGGAACGCAATTAGGGGATGACGAGCGGGATGTCCGAGAGTGACATGGATGAGATCAGAGGTTATGGGTAATTGTGTATCCAGTTGAAGAGGACTGCAGAAGGTAGAACAAAGTGACGAAGTGATGTTAAAGCTCAATATCCCACTCGGAACCCAAGGGAACAGTAGTAACCGTAATAATAATATATTAAATGACTGTTTTCATGAGATAATCCTGATCGTTGAGTTTATTTGTTGTTTTTTAAGAGGCTGAACGACGGAGGGATGGATTGTCACGCATAGATCGTTGGTGGTTGATTTTCCTGATCAGCTGGCAAAGCAATAAGCTAGGAAACACAAAGATAACTAAGTCTGTAATGATATCATTAAGAAACTAAATGTATCAATAGGATGTGATTAGTTTATTTTAGCTAAACTCACAGAAAATTCACATTGTTTTTGACTGGGATTATTTTCTAGTTCATTGGCAACAAGTGGTAGTGAATTCATTCTCGACACTGAATGATTTGATGATTCTGTTAGCTCAGAAGATGTTTCACTAAGAATTTCATCACTGTTCATCATGTGAGTTTTAATATCACCATTGATATCTATTTCAATGGATAAACATTTAAAAGAAACAAATGTTGTATAACTTAAATGAAGGCTAAAGCAAACATCCAATTGAAAAGGATTAATTAATTATCTTTTTTTATTTTTTTTTGATTTACAGCTTGATTCCACACTGTATTTTCGGTACAGGTACGGAATTTTCAGCATGGATATCGGTAGCCCAAATTTTGCAGGCCGACCATAGATATCAGATGTGCGTCGGTGCGGGCTCGAACCCCGGACCATGTGCATGGTCGGCGAGAGTCCTAAACTCTGTGCCACCGACGCACACTGTCACAAAGTGCAAAGAAGTACCGAAATAAAAACTTTAAACGTCATGAATGAGTTTCAGCATAGAACATTTGAACAGAAGTGCAGCAGCTTAACTTGCTACACCTCGTCCGGTACGCAAATCTTGGGAAAAGAGATTCACTATGACTGTAGTAAAGAGAAATGTGAGGTGGGTAGAAAAGTAAGAAGAGGAAAACATGACGGTTCTGTGGATATGGGAGGTTACCATTTGATAAATATTCGTATTTCAACAGAAATCCAAAAAGATTTATTATAAAGATGGATCGTGAATGTAAATTTGCTATTTGTTGAGACACTTTACAGACAAGTTGATGGGGTGGCAATGAGATCCCCCTTGGGTTTCATTCGGGCAAATCTCCTTCTAATTAAACCAGAAAATGAATCTTTGAACAAGGTTATTAGAATATTTTCCCATTTTATTGCCGGTATATGGATGACACCTTTATTCTTTGTGATAGTGATTCAAATAAGAACAAAATAAAAACTCAATTCAATGAAGTACATTCTGCTATGAAATTCATGTGTGAAGAGCAATCCCAAAACAGAATTGCCTTCCTGCGTATCCTCCTCACAAGAAAACTAGATGGTAGCATAAAGAAAAATTTACATTGGACAGGACAATATACACATTTTCACTGCTTCGTTCCTCTCCAGTAAAAAAAGAAATTTAGAAAAGACCCTCAGCCACAAGGTTGGAGATATATCCTTAAAAGAGGTAATTGAAGATGAACTTAAGGTTGATTGTATATGATATCTTGATTGAAAAAAAGCTATCCAGACAAATTCATTAGGGAAATATGACTTAGAACGTTGTAAACGACTATTCCTCATCCGTAAACATGAAGCCTTTGATTTTTTGATTTTTTTTTTTTTTTTTTGATTTACAGCTTGATTCCACACTGTATTTTTGGTACAAGTATGGAATTTTCAGCATGGATATCGGTAGCCCAAATTTTGCAGGCCGACCATAGATATCAGGTGTGCGCCGGCGTGGGCTCGAACCCCGGACCATGTGCATGGTCGGCGAGAGTCCTAACCACTGTGCCACCGACGCACACTTTGTATATATGACTGCAATTCACGGGTGATATATACATCTAACGAAATAATTACGAAGAAGTTAAGAAAATCAGTTCAAAGAATTGTTAATTATTATTATACTACAAGTCTTGTTTTCTGCACGACCCATGGTGATTCCTCAATCGAAAGATGAAGTACCTAGATTGGTCACTTCTAATTATGTCTACCAATTCAACTGCGCTTGTGGTGGAGCCAGTTATATTAATCTTTGCTCTGGGAACTCGATTTTTCCTGATCACTCAGGAACATCTACCAATGTGGCTATGTAAAGGTGTAGTGAGAAGCATCAACAGTTCGACATTAGACCACCCGTTCCAAACCAGCCAAAAAGCCAGCATTGAAGAATAAAATGCTAAAAAATCCAAGTACCGCATACTCCAAACACCAGAGGCTATCGTGATTCGTCATAGACAACGAGTGCTCTGTGTGCAGAAGAAGAAGCAAGTCTGACCGGCCACTTCTACTGCCCTGGCCGGCCTTCAGTGTAGACTATCAATTCATGAATTTGTATTATTATTATTATTATCTTTCCTAATTTCTCTGGTATTCAGTGTGCAGTGTTATGTTGATGCTATTGAACTGTAATCCATTGATGTTGTTATTAGTGATTCAATTTCATCTAAACAACATTCATGTTGTCAATAATACTAATTCATCCATTGACTATAATGTATATATAACTGTAGTACCTGGTGAAGAGCAGGTTATCGAAAAGAATATTCTTTGTTCAGTAACCTCTCTTTTGATAATTCATCTACGCCACTGAGAATGATTGGAGCCATATCTCCAATAATTTTCATTCATTTATTATTAGCATTCCTAGGACGCTATCCAGACAGTCAGACAGCAAACAAACAACACTGATAATATTCTAGAAACTATAGGAACATTTGTTCAACTTAGTTATCTCTTGCTAGGCCATTGCTAATATACTACCTTGACTATCATATCATATTAGGAGACACCGAATATTTTGTCACAAACTGAATATGATTGGGAAATCACTGAAAATAAAAAGTTAGTAGTCCTCTGCTAGTTTGTTACCCTTTAGCAGAACCTACTAACAGTCATATACTGAATCGTATATATGATCACAACACAATTATCCTGTAGCTATACTCATTATTTTCGAATTCTATCAATTTATAACTTAGGATCATCATCCAATTTCACCGATGGCTGACCGTCTTCAGATTCAACTTGATGGTCAAAACTAATCAGGAATTGACACAAGAATTCGAGATACTTCATTCTGAAACAACTTGCTAATGCACAGTAATCACCTCTTCTGAGTGGATAAGGTTTGGGTGGATGGTTGCAATGATGGATAAGGGGTTCCAGTATGATGTACGCAAGTATTTTCAGTAGACGAGCACGAAATCGGACGAAATTCGTGTCCTGAATTCTACAGAAAGTCATCATCCACTTTATATTCGTTGCACTATAGCTGTTGTGACAAAGCCAACTAGTCTCCAACCACGCGGGTAAAGCGTGACTCATTGCATACAATATATACATTTGTTAGTGGTCCTACTGTACTAGCCATAAGTGACACTGAAATGTACGTTGAAATTTAAATCAGATAAACGTGTGAACTTAAGGTTATTGTGGTACTAGGTTAACACTTGGTCTCGAATTTGTCCAGGAAATCGAACTGAGCAAACGAATTTCATTTGATTTCTAAAGTATTCCGATTTTTCTAGTGATTTGTGTAAAATTCAATTCATAATAAATAAACGTTTATACATGAGCTTTTTAAAGAATTTGCTTATAAGCAGTTACGTTTTGTTTTGAAGATTTTCATTAGTAAATTGCCTCTTCAAATAACTCCTGAACCGATAATCACCTGCCGTTCCTCTAGAGAAATACAATCAGTAGCGTGGACAAAAGTGCCTTGCTGTGGGCACCAATCCTCTAACAAAAGTAGAAGTCTTGAATGCAATCAAGCTACTGAAGTCTGAGAAGGCAGCAGGAGCGGACGGAATTCCTCCTAAAATGCTGAAAACAGATCAGTAGACTGCAGTGGACATGATCATGCCACTGTTACAAAAGGTTTGGAAAAAAGAAAAGGTACCTGCTGACTACAAAAACGGCTGCCCTCTAAAACTAGCAAAAGTGGACAAATTACGCCTGTGCAAAACCTGGCCCGGAATAATCCTCTTTTTCACACCTAGTAAAATACTAAGTCGGATCATCCTAGAGAGAATAAAAGAATGAAAAGGTGCAGAACTCCGCCCTCCGGAACAATCTGGATTCAGGAAAACTGAATAATGTGCAGGTCAAACTGCAACTCTACGCACCGTCATCATAGAACAAGGTATAGAATGGCAGTCAAACCTCCACCTCAACTTCATCGTCTTCGAAAAGGCACTCAACAGACAGCGTTGACCGAAAGATAATTTGGAAACTACTTCAACACTAAGGCATACAGTGCCCAAGTCTTTATTAACCTCAATCAACAGCTAGCTATATGACAATGTCACTTGTCAAGTGATCCACACCGAAAATCCCCCAGATGCGTTTGAAGTGAATACAGGAGTAAGACAAGGTGGCTGCCTATTATCACCAACGATGATATTCCTAATTATGGTAGACTAGGCAATACATCAGACTGTGCGTGGGAGTGAGAAGACAGGAACACATTGAACAGATAAGTGGACTCTGGAACATCTGGATTTCGCGTGTGGGTATGTATGTATGTTAAATGTCACACAAACTCGAAGACTAGCAAGCAGGCAGGTGAAAATAAAAAAAAAACTGGAAGAAGTGGCAAGCAGCGTAGACAGGACTTCAAGTGAACATGAAGAAAACAGAGGTGATGAAGACAGCCAACCAACAAAAACAAATACAAGAATCAATCACTATCAACGGAATGACTTTGAAAGAGGTCACTTTCTTCACCTACGTAGCTGTGCAGTATCGCTGCAACTACAAGCCGACTACACGGATGAATACGTCAAAGATGGAGTGAGAAGTGCAATACAGACCTTTATTAATCTAAAATCAGGGTGAAAATCTGCTTGACTGGAACCCGAACGGGAAACGACGAGTGGGGCGTCCAAGAGTGACATACACGAGATACTGTTAAGCGGAAAGGAGAGCTTAAGGCTGACTGTGAACACATCTAAAGAGAACTGTAGAGAACACGAAAAAATGGAGACGTGCTGTTTAAGTCGTATATTCCACTCAGAACTCAAGGAAATAATAATATAAGACAAAAAAAGCTCATTACGAAGATTGCTTAATTTCACCTAAGATCTCAAGATGTAAGCGACATCTTATCACTGTCACACTGAACGGTTTGCGTGTTTAGGAGAGGATTAGAAGAGAAGAAAGGTATACATATATATCCTTACGGAACATTTAATCATATAAAGTTGTATAAAAAAAGTAAAACTTACTAACTGAATTCGTTTCGCTATGGATTACACCATTTGTTTCCTGTACGTTGACGGTATCACAAGTGTTGAATCCGTTTACTTCTTTAGCGAGACTCTAAATATAACATGAATACACCGTAATTGTCATATACTTTGAAAAACACTATAAAAGTTATATAATTTTTGGGATAATCTGTTTATTATGTTACCATGCTTGTATATATTCCTAGCATTATACCACAATAGGAAGAACTCAATTACCTGGAATAGATATCCCATGTATATGTAAGGCTGTAATCCATGCATATTTTGTCAGGGCTAGTGAAAATATCCACCTGGCTAAACTGAGTTAGAGGTCGAGTAAGAAATGAACAACAAACCCCTTTTCTGAAAGCCGAAGTTCTAATACGGATGAGTCAAATCTGCGTGCTGCTCACAAGTGAACAGGCCTATTCAGGTAGATAGTTACCTCGTGGGTTCCATTGGGAAGTCGTGACCATTGCGGTACAGCAGGTAGGGGTTGAGGACAAGTACTCGCCAGCGATGATATTCTCTAGTGGTCGCGCCATATCATGAGTTGACAAAAGCTGGAATTTTAAGGGGTGGCTATTCGATTGTGTGAATCCCAGTGGCTAAATGGTCTACGAGCTCGCTAGCCTTGTAACTAAAAGGTGCTGGGTTCGAACCCCTTGTTCATGGTATAACACAATTAAAAGAGCCTTTATATATATATAGCGAAGTTTATTTTAAGCAAATCGATATGTGAGAGGGGTTAGGAGATCCAGTGTTGATCGGTTTTAGATACAGTTCATTAATTTTTGATGTTTGCCAAACTGTAATAATTAATTGGAGATATATCTTACTTATTTTAACACAGGTAATGGTGAAGATTTCCCACAATGGCTAGTGACTGACTAATTGACTGAATTTCAGTGTAGACCTAATCGAAAAAGTTAAACAGCTCAAGATGTCACACTCTATGTCTGTCTGTCTGTTTTCAGCACAGAACTTTGCACTGGTGTGCGGCAGTTCAAGTCGCCACACTCAGTGTAGCACACAAAGCAAGAGAAGAGAGTAGAAGAAATGAATAATAGAAACAGTAAACAGAGATATGGGACAAAGGAATAGTAATAACGAAGAACAATATAGTTTTATTAGATATTATAAGTCAAAAAGAGTGGATGCATCTGCGCTATGCATTGAGAACAATTTTGAGCCATATCACCAATTGTTTCTAGCCATTCGTGTTTACCGTCCTGAGCACCCCAACCAGGAAGCCAGTCTAAATGTTCCTACGTGGCTTAAACTAACTGTTGTGGATTTCATTGATTGATGGAAGAAGTCATGTTTGGTTTGACCAACACTGGCTGTTTTCCAACCTGACTCTATGTTAGCTAACATTACTCGTCGAGGAAGGTTATAGCTAGTCATACATGCATGCGTAACACACGTCCTAACCATCTCAATGGATGTAGCTTCACAGCCTCTTCGATTGATTTCCCTTCCCACCTACCTAGCACTCGACGCCTAATCTCAATATTGCTCACCCTATTATACCGCTTCACACGGGAGATAGAACGCAGGCACCTATGATCAAAGACAGCTAATCTTTTCATGTCTTCCACTCTCAATGGCCAGGTTTCACAGCCAGCCATAAAGGAGGACGGAGCAGTACACCCGCCCTTTGTTGATAATTGGACATCACGTCTACGCCAGAGACTTCGTAAACTGGCATATGCGAAACGAGATCTCTGTATCCGTGGTGAGATTTCGTCAGAGATCAACCTGTTGGCGTTGGAGCTGATGGTACTCCCCAAATAAGTTAAGCGATCAACGTGCTCTACCACTTCCCTTCCTAGGAGTCAGTGTATTCCAGTCCTGTAACATCATCTTACATTTGGTGGGAGAGAATCGCATGCCAAACATTCTTAGATTGCAGTTCAAGGTGTTTAGAAGACTCTGCATTTTGTCAGCGTCCTTGCCTAGAATGACTATATCGTCTGTATATTCAACGAGTCAGCGAGACTATTCCCAGGTAGCAACTCTATCTATGATACTCTGAAGTGAGGTAGGATTAAATCCATTAGTACATCTATGATGAAATTGAATAGAAATGGGGATAATGGGTATCCTTGACGGAGACCACTAGTCGTCACCATTTCAGTTAACAACTCGCCGTAAGCCCTCATACTCCATGTAGCACAAAAAGGCAAGGAATAAAGAATCAAGAGATCGTTAATAAGCAGGAATATGTAGAAGAAAGAACAGTAACATGAAAGTACATGAGTGTTTAATAGATACACGAGATCACAAAGAATGAATATATTTGCGCCAGCGAAAACAATTTTGAGCTATATCACCAATGATCTCCAGCCACTGGTTGTTAGCATCCTGAGGATCTCAGCCATATGGTCTACACCTTAAGTGGTTCAAACCAACTGTTGAAGACCTCGTTGAATAATGGTGGATTTTAATTTGACCAACTATGACATTTTTTCAACCTAATTTTATGTCAGTTAACATTGCTGGTTGAGGAAGCCGGTAGTTCGGTATGCGCAGAATGTGACTTTACCATCTCAATCGATGTAGTTTTACAAACTCAGTGACTAATTAACTTTTCCCCCCACTCCTTCTTGAGTAACACTCTATTATGCTAGGTTAGTGATCAAAAACTGTCACAACTGTCGTTGTCAGCTGTAATGCCTTCAGTATTTATCTCACGGATACATGATAACTTCATTTTAACTGCTAACGAGTTTTAACTTATCGTGTGTAAATTACATGTAAACGAACGTTTTATTGTTAAGAAAATTATATAGTGTATGCATAAGACAGATACAGATTATTTTTTTTATTATAGCTTGAATCCACACAGTACTTTCGGTAGAAGTATGGGATTTTCAGCATGTAGTATTAGTATTATTTTATCCTTTAATTCCTAGAGGAACATAGGGCTTCAGCTGCGCGTCTCCATTGCCTTCGGTTTTTGGCCAACTTTTTCACCCCGCTCCAAGTCTGCCAACATGCTTTCATCTCCTCTTCACATCACCTCCTCCAAGTCACCCTTGCATTGATGACCAACTTGCCGCTTGCCTTTCGGATTCCACTCGAGCAATGGCTTGTCTAGTGATGTCACTTGATGGTTTCCTCAGCGTATGGCCAATCCATCTCCATTTCTTCCTGCCTACTTGTTTCACAATCGGTTCCTGGTTTGTTTGCTCATCGACAGAGGTCCCTGTGTCTGATCTTTTCTGGCCGACCATCCGATCTTGAGTATTGAGCGAAGACAACTGTTAATGAAGGTCTGAAGTTTGTTTGAGATGCTGTTTATGATGCGCAGTTCAAGTCTCTGATCCATATAGTAGCACTGACTTCAGTAGCCCAAATTTAGTAGGTCGACCATTGATATCGGGTGTGCGTCGGCAGGCGATCGAACCTCGGATCATGTGTATTGTCGGCGAGAATCCTAACCGCTGTGCCACCGACGCACAGGCGAGCCTGTGGAAAAACGATTCACCACTTAAAGTCGGTTTTACAATGTTATCTCAAGCAATATAAGCATAAGGCATGAAAAAACTATAAAAAAACGAAACAAATTTAGGTATTATTTAGACTAAAATATTATTTTGTTCCTTTTTAGAAACTTACACATTGTACTTCACTACTATTAGTTGTAAAATTCTTAGCATTAAATGTTTCACATTTGATTGGTTTAATTCCAAGGAAACTAGCGTATTTAGTATCTTGTTGTAAACAGTCAACAACACGATTCCATGTATTTAAAGCATTTGTATAGATTTCAGTTTGTTTTTGATTGATTACATTCAACTGTTCCCTAGTTGAATCCCATGGATATAAACCCAATAAATAAGGCCATACCTATTATTATTAAAAAAATAAATAAGAAAGTGGAATTCGTTTATTAGTAGAAGTGAAATTTTCAGAAATATTTATTATAAAGGGATGTGGTGTACTCTATCAATGAATATCCCAGTATCTAAATGAGTGCTACTCAGGGTAAGAGGAAAAAATGAAGCATTTCTGTACATTACAGGCCACATATAAAACAGGAGTCAGACAAGGGTGCTTATTATCACCAATGATATTTCTAATTGTGGTGGACTGACTGGATTATGCGTCAGACAGTGGGAAACGAGAAGACAGGAATATCCTTAACCGACCGACGTGAAGAACCTAGAAGACCTGGATTTCGCGCGTGGATGATTTATGTTTGATGTCACACGAGATCGAAGACTTACAAGCGAAAATCGACAAACTGGTCGGAGAAGCAGCTGGCGAAGACAGGGCTCCAAGTGAGCATAGACAAGACGGAGGTTATGAAAATAACCAACCAACCAACCAACAACAGCAACATCTAGCGCCAATCACCATCAACGGGAGGGATTTGAAAGAGGTTACTTCATTCACTTATCTGGCTTGGAAGCATTGTCTCAACCACATGAGGAACGGATGAGGATGTCAAATCGAGCGAGAATCGGGAAGGCGAGAAACACATCAACATCATCAACCTGAAACCAATCTGGAAATCTTCGCCACTCAACTCAGCATCAACAACAAAATTCGGTCGGATTTTCAATACAAACGTCAAGTCAGTCAGCTCTTCTATGCGGATCAGAAACTTGGCGGGCGGGTCACAAAGAATATTTCCAAAAGGTTGCAGACCTTTATTAACAACTGTCTTCGCTGGCTCTATACTGAAGATCAGATGGCCGAGCCGGAAAGAATCATCAACAAGAAACTATGGGAAGAAAGAAAACAAGAACCAATCGCCAACCAACAAATATGCAGAAGAAAGTGGAGATGAATTGGACACTCTCACGTCAGGCCATTGCTCAAGTGGAACCCGAAAGGGAAGCGGCGTGTGGGACGTCAGTGCAAGGGTGACATGGAGGAGGTCGTGTGAAGAGGAGTTGAAAGAGTATGGACTAACATGGATGCAGGTGAAACGTACGGCAGAAGACAGAAGCAAGTGGAGAGGTGCCCCTGAAGCCCTATATTCCACTAGGAACCCAGGGGGACAATAATAATAACAGGCCATATATATATATAGTAGCATAAAATTTTAAAAAAGTTTAGCTTCAATACCTGCTGTCATGATATGATTATGAAGCAACATATATTGTCAAAAACTACCAAAGAAGTTTGAGACAAGTTAAACTTAAAGCACCAGTAAATACCAGTGTAACGTGACGGCATCAATTATCTTAAAACATCTTAGTGAGATCTGATAGGTAATATTGTAATCATGAATAAAATATGCATAGTGAAGTTAGAAAAATTTCGATATCAGACCGACATTGAATGCCTGCCAGATACCTGGATTTCTGATTTCCTTTATGGAAGTATAATAGTTGAATGGTTGCTGTTATAATCATTTTGGAGATAGTATTTTTTCAACACAACAGCATATACTAAAAAGGCAACCTCTTGAAACAAACAGTGGCTTTCTCAACTATACAATGCTAAGCCCATACAAACAATAATATGCAATGGTTTACGGATTTCATCATGAACTGACATCATATTGAGGACCATTGGAAAACCAGCAGAGAGTACCAGACAACTGTTTCGTTCTAGTTTGGGCCTCTTCATCAGTACACACCTATTGAGGTTTGAATACAGGATCTTCTGGTTAGAAGGCGAGCTCATAGAGCATTAAGCCATTGGGACCAACCCGATCCAATGGCCAACCCATGAATTCCAACTTCTGCTAATTCGTGATATGGCACGATCATTAACGGATATCATCAGTGGCCAGTATTTGTCCTTACCCCCGATCTGCTGTACCCTACAAGGCCACGACTTCCCATTAGATCGAAGATACAAAACTCGAATAATATTAATAAGACATTATTCAAGTATACAAATGAAGTGAAAAAATATTGTCAAACCTACTTCATTTCTAATCGTTGGATCACAATTACCAAAGTATACATGTCGACAAAATTCATTGAATGTAATTTTCTGTAAAGGGAGTATAGATAGATGATTACGTAAAATGTGTCCTTTTAACAACAATAATAATATTCATTATAAATACCCATTATGCCAGTTTTTCGTTTGACTTTAGTTGCCCAGGGTTATCAGACATCGGACTATGACCCACACGTAAGCACTGTTGATAATATTGAGTCGCCTAAATTGAAGTAAATATCATTTAACTCCCTTTTAGATGGAATTCAGGCACTAAATCGAATAAGCTACTTTAATCCGTTACAAAGTGATTGTTAGATAAGTAGAAATACTACTGGTGTGTGTTCACTTGACTAAAACCTCGTATATATCTCATGATATACTCTTGTCGACATATAACAACTTTGATTTATCACAAGTAAAATTCTTCAGAGAAACAGAAAGAATGGCTAGATAACAACTGTTTCTGTTATAAAACAATTTTAAGCTTAAATGAACAAGTGATGCACACTTCACGTGCATAGACGACGCCACAGTCAAATGAACCGAAATTCTAGATTTCTTATTACGCTCTTACTGGATTGAACCTATCAATCCTTTGTCAGATAATGCTGTGGGTTCAAACTTGATGCTATATACTAATTGGTCACTAGTGGGCATCGCTCTTCCCTGTTTAAGAATCGTTAGTCAAACGAGGGAACCACACTTCTGATAGATAGGACATAACATTAAACAAAAGATAAAGAGCTGAAAGAACCATGCAATATACTACTAAATGATTGATTTGAGTAGCTGGATACCACTCACATTTGGCTGCCAGATCTAAGTGATATTTAACGACAGAAGACAAAGGCCAGTCAACAGATCGTTTATTGAAAAAAATTAAAAGGTATTTAAAAATTTTTAAGTATATTATTATTCGTTATTGTTAGCACAGAAGCAACGTCTTCTGATTGGTTGTTTCCCTGTTGAAGGTTATTCTGTCATCGCTTTGTTGCTGTTTCTTAGACAGTCCGTTGGTATACCTGCTAATCGTACCCCCCTCCCAGGAAAAGTCTGCTGTGATTAGTTGTTGAGTTATCCAAGGTTCGGCTTTGTTCTCGTTTTTTCCCATGACCCCGATTTGGGACAAAGACACTGACGTCAATCGTTGTCTACTATTTTGTCTTACTGACAGCTCTCACCACAATATGAACGCTGGACGGAATGGCTTGCTTGTTCTTGATCATCACAGATACTTAAATTCTATTTGCCGTGTTTATTATTACAATTTAGTGAACAATAAAGAGGTTTGGAATAGTCTCATACCAAAACCTGGCATCAATCCGTGCAGTCCTTGAGTCAGTTTGAGACAACCGTGTAGGAAGGTGTGGACTGTTTAGTTAAGGTCTGCAGAAGACTGAGAAACAATGGGATGAAGACTATTGATGATATTGCTCAAAATCGTTCTCGCTGGCACAAATACATTCACCCTTTCTGATTACCAATATCCATTAAACCATCAAGCTTTTTCATATTACTATTCCTTTTCACGCAAATTTCTGCTTATTATAAATTCTTTGGGTGTCTTTTTTCTCCGTTTTGTCTTCCAAAAAGGCAAGACACCTGGTAAAGGAATGTTTACTTCTAGTTTGGTATCACTATATAGTCAAATTATGTACACCTTTTTTTTCACATCACCATTTGCACAGATCTTCCGTGTTGTGTTACTTCTGTCCCTAACTGCACGTCTCTCATGTATCTCCACAACGCTGTATTATTTACTTTCTTTGACATGAAATCTATAATACTGATAAATCTTATCGGTAGTACACGTTACAATAGAATATGTTAACATAACATCTAGTTATGAATGTGGGACGGTAATCTGCTAGCAATCAGGTGTTTGTACAAGTGATATCAAACATGGTGTTAGTATTATGATTGTTATTATTCAGCCCTTGGATTCCGAATGGGATATAATCACGTCCTCATTCTACTTTCTTCTCTGCTGTCTTTTTAAGCTGATTTATGAATGCTCACAAGCTCTTGTCCCTTATTTGTCTTACCGCTTCCATGTTACTGACTTAATTCCAAGTCACTCCCCACGCAGGCTCAACTCAACGACATGGAGCCTGATGCCACTCATCGATTTCTTAAGCGTGTATCCTATATTTCATTTAGCATATTTGTTGGCCATTTTGATTGAACACTAGTAACTAGTGCAACGCATCTAGTCCTTTCTTTGGTGCAGACTGAATTCTACCAGTCAGGTTTGCAATGTGGCCATCATTCTAGGTAGCTCGCCATCACGGTGCACATTGATTTGATGATATCAGATAGTTGGAGGCGATCGGACACATGAAGCCCTGCTTGACAAAGTTTTCGTGCTAGTTGGCACTCAGAAGTCAGCAAGGCGTATCTTAAACCTTGAAGGAACTTATGTCCCTTCTGAGATTCGGACCCACGTCACCCAGTTCCGGCTGCAGTCAGAGACATTACCACTGAGTTATTCGGGCTCTTATGTTTTGCCGAGACTCTGAATCATTTGCCCTCTTTGACATAGAATCTATCTCCCTGCTAATTGATATTTTTGCGCCAATGAATATCTCTTTATAGATACTGCTGATAAATCTTATCAGTAGTACGCGCCACAGTATGACTAAATGGTGTCTAGTAAGTTGAAATACTATGCTATATAAAATTCTATGTTTGAAATCAGTCAATCAGGAAAATTTAAAAACTAAATCAAAAGCATCTGTTCAATGGTTCTCACTTTACAGTGATTTTTAAAATAATCTTTGTTTTTTTATGAAATCTCCATTCAATTGAAACATATTTCCTACAAAAAGGCCAAAAAATCTGAAGATAATTCTCCACTTACTGGTATAGAGTTTGTCATTAATTGTCTCCAAAACTCTACAGTTACACCTTCTTCAGCATTAGTTGGACTATCAACAGTCAATAAATTTGTTGAAACAAGATTAGACAGTTTTTTGCGTACAATTTGAATTTTAGTAAAATATTTATACCCTGTAAGTATAGGGAAAAGATAAAAAATAAAAACCAGGGGTTGTAAGATTCATGTTGTTGAAATTTGCTTATATGTAAACTGTAGAATTTAATAAAGTGAAATTTCAATAGAGTTTTTACTTGGAAATCAAAAATATTTGAATGACAATAACGTTTCTTACTTGACACCACCATAAATGGTAACAAGAAAGCGAGCATATACATATACTACTTATGGAAATGAGTAGTTGGATACTGATAAACGTAAATAGTGGTGATTGACAGCCATATAAATCAGACACAGAAACCAGACAGCTTTTTCACTCTAGAGAAACAGCCCTTCATGAAGGGAACAGGTCTACAGATTATGTTATATACATTTCAGTAAAGTGAGAAACAGTGAATTCCCAGTATAAAACGATATCATCAGCAGATTTCACAGGATTTCATCAACTGCAGACTACCGGGAATTACACTGGTTTTAAAAGAATAAAAATGTAATACTTTAACTGCTGAAATTTTACTATGGAAAATGTTATAAAATAGGGATTAAAGTGAGTGACAGTATCTTATAGAATCTTAATAGACAGAAGACCAGTAGTTCAGCGAAGAGTCACTTTTCGGCGGCGAATTCATTTTCATAGCTGTACAATCGCAAATATATATATATATATATATATATATATATATATATATATATATATATATGGTGGTTTTGTAGGTGTGAACATTAAATTTGACAAACTAAAATACAATTAGTAAGTTCAGATGAATCGCATGTTGTTGATATAAGAGGGTAGTAACAAAAGTAATGAGTTGTCACAAAAGATTGTTAAAGAAGAGTTACGTAATAACGTGAATAGTTTGATGAAGGAGTTGTGCTCAGGGTGTACATGGAAACAAAATAGAATCAATGAAAGAAAAATAGGAGCGATAAAAAGAGTACGATTATATGGTATATCCCCTATCTGAAGTGGCACCACACACTTTATCCAGTGGGTATTAACACATTTAGATAAAAAGGGCAAATATTCTAGAATATTCAAGTATTGGTTTTGTAGGGACTTAAAGATGGCGCAATAGCTCATAGAGGGAAACATTGCGAAATGGTCGCGCTATGTCTTGAATTTGCAGAAGTCATAATTTATGGGCCATTGCATCGTATCCTAGTGACTCAATGGTCCTGGATCCGAACCCCGGTGGGTACTTACTGATGAAGAGTCCCAAACTAGGACGAAACAGCTGTCCAGTATTCCCAACTGATGTCAGCTCATGGTGAAATCCTCTGTTCTAGAATAATTTCATGGAAATTCAAAAATGTATATTTAACTTTTGAACCTACTGCCTCCTTAAACCCGGAATTCAAGATCAATGAATTCATAGGGGTTTAACAACGAGTTACTGTATAATCAAGAAATTTGTAATGTAATGGTAACTAAGAAGAATAGAATGACTAAGCGGAGTTACGTAATATACAGACAGGTCAACTGAATCAGATAGAATTGTAATTATAATAAAATAATGAAGTCTAAGGGTAATTATAAGAGGTGGGAGAGAAAATCTTTTGTAAAACTTAATACATAGTATGCAGTTGGCCAAGAGGCTACAGAATTTCTTTTGAACACGCAGATTTGGCTTGTTCAGATTTATTCCGAATGCCATTACTGTATGTGAAATTTGTACGCATAGATCATATGGAAGGTTGGGTGAAGTATTTAAAAGGCTTTGCTAGAGTCAATTTGAAGTTCATTATTGACGAGATGAGCTAGTATTGAGCTGTATGTATGGCTTTATTCGGACCTTTACCACATCAAGATGGGGAATGCTCAGAAATTCGACTATGAACTTGCCTGATCCTACGTTCAATATAACTAGTTCCGCACGATCAATGAAACTGGTAAATACAGTTGATAGAGACAAAATATGGCGGTTTGACTTTATTTCTTGAAATGAGTACTAGTTGACTAGTGAATGAGAAGCATAATTTAGCTGCGTTAAAAGGCTTTTTGAAGTCCCTTCCCAGACAGTGTGATAAAATCTTACTGTTAACACCTCATGTGAAAAGGAATCTTAAGAACACTGATTTTTGAAGAAATGTGGGCACCCTCGTTTGTCTACTTGCTGAGTCATTGTGTTTATTATTATTATTGATTAGCTTATTTGGAACAGGGTATACTGCCGGCTGTACTTACATTGTGGTGAGAGCTGGCTGTTAGCCAAATTCGTAGACAGTAATTTACATCAAAGTTTACGTCCCCAATATTGGTCGTGAGAAAAATATGAGCAAAGAGTGAATCAACAACCAGTCAGAGCAGACTTTGCCTAGGTGGATAAAAATTGCAGATAGATCATCTGAACTTCAATAAAACGGTCACAAAGAGATGAAAGTTTAACTTCCAGTGAGAAACAACCAATCAGAAGACTGTGTTTTTCTGCTAACAATGATCTATAATAATGTACATGAAAATCTATACATATATGTGTTGACTTCCCTAGAAGAACGATCCGTTGCCTATCCCTTGTCTTCTGTTGTTACAACCTTATAAGAATGACAGATAGGAAATAATTCTTAAAGTAAAAAAGTTTGCGATATTGCCTATTAACTCGAATATGTAAGACGAAAAAACTGCTTTTTGTTAGGAGAAATTCCATTTGTTACATCTCTTCTACAGAATCTATTCCATTTTGTAGTCCATTAATCTGGTCGAACTGAACCTGACATCAGTCCGCGGAATTTTTGACTTTTGATATAAGTCAACCACGTTGAGAGATGTGAGCTGTCTGGTTTAGAGGTCTCAGGATGTTAGAAATCAATAGTTTGAGGCTGTTCTAAATATCGTTTAAAATCGTTCTCAGTACCTCAAATGGATTCGCCTCTTTATGATACCCCATAACCATTTAACCCTTATGTTTTTCTTTTTCATGATACTCTTTCTTTCACCTTTACACTTTTGCTCATTATAGTTTCTTTGAATTTCCCTCCTTTCTTTGAATTTCTCTACTTTTGTGTACTACATAAAGTGTTACAACTTGTACTGCTACAATTCTTTGCAAAGTTCTACGTTGAAATTCAGTCAATCCTCTCTAAATGAAACGAAAAAATTTTGGAATTAACTTAGCTATTATTTCATTAAGCAGTAATTTCTATTCTCATTAGGTGAATGTTTCATTAAATTTGTTTGACGTGCATTTTGCTCCGGTAAAAATTCAAGATGACGATTGTGGACTCCTAATTTTGAGGATTTAGTGTAAAAACAGTTAAGTGTGTTGACCTTGTTCAGGTATTCGAGAATTCGCAAATGTATTCACTCCTTTTTGGTATCTTTCACATTTCATTATTATTATTATTGCTCCCTTGGGTTCCTAGTGGAACATAGGGCTTCAACTACACCTCTCCACTTGCTTCTGTCTTCTGCTGTACTTTTCACCTGCATCCATGTTAGTCCATACTCTTTCAACTCCTCTTCACACGATCTCCTCCATGTCACCCTTGCACTGACGTCCCACACGCCGCTTCCCATTCGAGTTCCACTCGAGGGCTTGACGCGCGATGTCACCCAGCGGTCTCCTCAGAGAGTGACAGATCCATTTCCACTTTCTCCTGCATATTTGTTGGGCGATTGGTTCTTGCTTTGTTTGTTCCCATAGTTCTTTGTTGCTGATTCTCTCCGGCCACATGATCTTCAGTATAGAGCCAGCGAAGACAGTTGTTAATAAAGGTCTGCAACCTTTTAGAAATGTTCTTTGTGACTCTCCAAGTTTCTGATCCGTATAAAAGAACTGACTTTAGGTTTGTAAAATCCGAATTTTGTTGTTGATGCTGAGTGACGAGGATTTCCGTATTGATTTTAGGTTGATGAATTTATTTTTCGCCTCCCCGATTCGATTCCCGATTTGACATCCCCGTCCGTTCTTCCTGTAGTTGATAGAATGCTCCCTAGATAAGTGAAGTGAATGAAGTAACCTCTTTCAAATAACTCCCGTTGATGGTGATTGGCGCTGGATGTTACTGCTGTTGTTGTTGTTGTTGGTTGGTTGGTTATTTTCATAACCTGCATCTTGTCTATGTTCGCTTGGAGCCCTGTCTTCACCGACTGCTTCTTCGACCAGTTTGTCGGTTTTCGCTTGTAAGTCTTCGATCTTGTGTGACATCAAGCATAAATCATCCACGCGCGAAATCCAGGTCTTCTAGGTTCTTCACGTCGGTCGGTCCAGGATATTCCTGTCTTCTCGTTTCCCACTGTCTGACGACGCACAATCCAGTCAGTCCACCACAATTAGAAATATCATTGGTGATAATAAGCGAGCACCCTTGTCTGACTCCTGTGTTTACTCCAAACGCCTCGCTGAGTTTTCCGTTGTGGATGACTTGACATGTGCTGTTGTCGTACAGCTGTTGAATAAGGTTGATGAATATTTGGGGTACGCCGTAGTACTCGAGTAGTTTCCAAATTACTTCACGGTCAACGCTGTCTGTCGAAGGCCTTCTCGAAGTCTATAAAGTTGAGGTAGAGGTTTGATTGCCATTCCATACTTTGTTCGATGATGATGCGTAGAGTCCCAATTTGGTCAGAACATGATTTGCCTTTCCTGAATGCAGCCAGCTTGTTCTGGTCGGAGTTCTGTATCCAGTGCGTCCTTAATTCTCTCCAGGATGATGCGACTCAGGATTTTACTTGGCGTCGACAGAAGCATGATTCCTCGCCAGTTCTTGCAGAGTGGGGCCCAAGTCGCCCTTCTTTGGTAGTTTCACGAGGTAACCTTTCCTCCAGTCAGTAGGCACCTTTCCCTCCTTCCAGACCTTTCGCGGTAATGAAGTCAGCATATCTGCTGTTGTCTCTGGGTCCGCTTTCAGTGCTTCAGGGGGTATTCCATCTGGTCCGGCTGCTTTTTCAGCTTTCAGAAGCTTGATTGTGTTCAAGACTTCAGCTTTCGTCGGAGGATTGGTGTCAACTTGCAGTTGTGTTCGTGCTGTTGTTGGTATTTCTGGACGGGTTGCAGGTGGTGGTCGGTTCAAGAGCCCTTTGAAGTGATCCGCCCATTGTTTAATCTGTCTTTCTTCCTTGGTAATTGGATTCCCTTGTCTGTCTTGTATAGGTTTCACTTGTGTTGATCTCTTCCCGGGTAGAAACTTGGTTATCTGATATAGTGTCCTTAGGTCCCTTTTGCCTGGTGCCTTCTCAGCTTCAGTGGCCAGGTTGTCGTAGAATTGTCTTTTGTCCTTCCTAGCACTCCTTTTGACTTCTTTGTTCAGTGCTGTGTACGTTGAGTTCAGCGTCTCTTTCTCTTGTCCGTCTTTGCATTGAGTCGTTTTCTCTTTCACCATTCTCCTCTCTTCTATTAATTTCCAAGTGTCCATTGGGAGCCATTCCTTGTCTTGTCTCTTCTTTCTTCCTAGAACCGTTGAACACGTTTCTTTGAGAATCGCCGTCAGAGACTTCCAATGTTCTTTCACGCATGATTCTTCAGTGATGTCGCGTAGTGTTTCCCGCTTTGCTCTGACAGTTGCAGTGAAAGTGTCCTTTGTGATTGTGTCCTTCAGTTTTTGAGTGTTGAACTTGCATTGTGGCCTATCCCCAGCTATCCTCAAGGCTTTTAGCTTCACCTTGAAAGTCCCTTCTACTAGATAGTGGTCTGAACCCACATCTGCTCCTCTTCTCGATCTTGTGTCCAGTAGGCTCCGTCTCCACTTCCGTGGGATTGAAATGAAGTCTGTTTGGTTCTTGGTGTTTCCATCTGGTGAAATCCATGTCTCCTTGTGTATTTCCTTGTGTTTGAACACACTGCCACCAATCACCAAATCATTGAAGCTGCAGAAGTCTGAGAAGAGTTCACTATTTTCATTCATTTCTCCTCACAACTCATGGTGAGTCCTCTTCCTGTATTGTCTCCTGCCAGCTTCGCACTAATGTCTCCCGTCAGGATTTTGATATCGCCATTTCCTTCTTTTTGAGTTGAACCTGGGCTCCAAGCGAACATAGACAAGATGCAGGTTATGAAAATAACCAACCAACCAACAACAACAACAACAACAGCAGTAACATCCAGCGCCAATCACCATCAACGGGAGTTATTTGAAAGAGGATTAATCTGACACTCTCTGAGGAGACCGCTGGGTGACATCGCACGTCAACCCCCTCGAGTGGAAGCTGAAAGGGAAGTGGCGTGTGGGACGTCCAAGGGTGACATGGAGGAGATCGTGTGAAGAGGAGTTGAAAGAGTATGGACTAACATGGATGCAGGTGAAAAGTACAGCAGAAGACAGAAGCAAGTGGAGAGGTGTAGTTGAAGCCCTATGTTCCACTAGGAACCCAAGGGAGTAATAATAATAATAATAATTTTACACCCAGGAAGAAAAATGACTTCATTCTATAGTGTGCGGTGCGAAAAACGCAGCAGAAAAAGAAGATAAGAGCAAAATCGTTTACAAAATAGATTCCTGTGTGCTGCGATAAACTACACTACATCGGTGAAAGTGGGCTGCCTCTTCGCATGGAAATCGAAGAACATAAATCAGCTGTGTAGAGGCATTATGTGCATTCTTTCATATTGACGCTCATAGATAATTACAGACACCTATATAATTCAGAGTATGCAGAAATTTTAAATAGAGGAAACACCAAAAATGCAGTCAGAGAATTCCTAGAAGCCTAGTAGTCGAGTGAATCAGCCAGCGGTTAACAAACACACAATACTATAGATCAAGTTTGCCCACTAATACAGTATAAATCACACGACAATAAAGTCAGTATGTCAGCAAAATTTATCAGTGTAAATTGACAACCAATCACAACTATAGTTTTTTGTAGTTGGTTTCTAAGGGTTAGTTTTGTTTTTACGAGTTGATCATGGATTGATAGCAGTAAGAGAGCTATTGAGAGCCAGGGAGTAATGGACGGCTGTTTCACCCTAGTTTGGGAATCATCGGCAATACGCACCCACCGACCGGATTGGAACCCAGGACCTTCGGGCTACATGGCAAGCTCGTATACCATTCAGACACTGGGACCCGATTCAGTGGCTCATGAATTCTATCCAATTTGTTATGTTGCGTGATCCTTATAAACCATTGAAAATTAGTATGATGCTCGCTAGTGACTTGCTACATGACGGAGTTTCCTAGAGTTCTAGTGAGAAGCCGTCACCAGTGAGGTCCAATTAGATGTCACGCGTGTGGATGAATGTCCCACCAACGACAATGGTTGGGGTCGCGCTAAATCATGAACTGGTAGAAGTTAGAATTCATCAACCCTTGAATCAGGTCCCAGTGGCTGAATGGCATACGAACTCGCCATGTAACCAGAAGGTCCTGGATTTGAACCATGGTAGTGGGTGCATACTGCCGATGATTCTCAGACTAGGATGAAACAGCTGTCTAGTACTCCCTGGTTTTCAATGCTTCTCTAATTGATATCAATCCGTGATCAACTCGTAAAAACAACAATAGTTGTCAGGAGATACAATTATATCATATTTGTGGAAGACTCAAACAAGTTTGCGCCTAAGGTGTTATCTGGAAGTCCAACGAAGGCTTCACATTTAAATCAACCAGCTCAGAGAAGGCAAACAAATGAAAATTTACTTCCTTTTCGTTCTCGTCAACAGAACAGAGTTAGTTAATCACCACTTGAATTTCCTCACGTAGTTAGTACTATTTGATTTCTTGTTACGCCCTTAGAAGTATATGGTAGTCATATCAAATGTTGTATTTGCCTGTTTTAAATGTTTTTGACCGATTTTTTTAACATAATTTTGGATATTTGCTGTGGCATTTCACATACTATGCTCAAAAACACGCTCACACTATACATTAATTCTCACATTTTATTCCTCGTCAATGAAAAAAATTACAGTAATTGTACCGACAGAAGACAAGGGCCAGGAAACAGATCGCTTATTGATGAAATCAGTAGATATTTATAGATTTTTATGTACATTATTATTCGTTATTATTAACACAGAAACAGTGTCTTCTGATTGGTTGTTTTCTCGCTGAAAGTTATTCTGTCATCTCTTCGTGGCCGTTTCTTCGAAGGTCAAACCATATATCTGCGAATCATAGCCGCCCACGCTTAGTCTACTGTGATTGGTTGTTGAGTTCCTCAAGGTTAGGCTGTTATTGTTTTTTCCCATGACCAAGAATAGGGACATAAACATTAATGTAAATCTCTGTCTACTAATTTCGGCTAGCAGACTACTCCCACAACATAATAACTGGTATTCGCCTATCACATGACACTATCAGCAGGAGAAATTCGAAAGGAGACACTTAATTCACTTATCTTGGTAGCATCCATCGTTCCAACTACAACCAACTCCACAGATGAAGATGTCCAAGCCAGAATCGGGAAGGCAAGACATCTTCGTTACTATGATATCATTGTGGAAATCTGCTGCATTCAGCATAAAGAACAATGTTCAGACTTCTAATACTAATGACATGCCACTTATTGTATATAGTTTAGAAACTCTGTGGGACACCAAATCCATTCCCAGCAGGCCACTACAGACTTGTATCAACAGCTGTCTTCTTCTCTGATTCTACAGTGAAGATCAGAAGGCTAGTCAGAAAAAGTATGCAACAAGAAACTGTGGCACAAAACCAACCAAGAACCGATTATCCTACAAAAATGACGTAGAAAATGGAGATGGATGGATCTTGTGATGAAAAGATGACTGTATGACATTGAGTGCGTGCCAGGTTCTTGACAGGAACTAGGATGGAAACGGTGATTAGGACGTGGATCCGAGGGTGACATGGAAGACATCATGTGAAAGGAGTAGATCAAAATCTAATCGTTAATCGCGGAACCAGCTTATGGGGACTGTAGAGAGCTGGATAAAACGGAGATGTGTCGTTGAAGCCCAACATGATAATAATTTATCACTTCAAGGTAATAGTCTGTGAACATCTCAAAATCACTAACTAAAGTCACAAAAAGTAAAAAGAATTTTTTAAAATTTTGATTGCAGGTTAATTCCACCCTGTATTTTTGGTACATGTATGAAATTTTCAGCATGTGATATCGGTAGCCCAAATTTTGCCGGCCGACCATTGATATCAGGTGTGCATCGGCAGGGGGTCGAACCCCGGACCATGTGCATGGTCGGCCAGAGTCCTAACCGCTGTGCCACCGTGGTGGTTAAGGGGTAGAATGGTTACTAATTACGAACGTGGTCCGGGAATCAATTACCTACCGATGCACTTCCAAACCTCACTTAGCCAATAGTAAACCTCGTTAAATAGGGAAAGCTGAGCATGAGGCTAGCAACCTCACCCTGTAAAAAATCATAGATACGATTGTTAGTGACACTTCAGAGATCAAGTCTGTAAACCTATAAGAGTATAAAAAATTCAGTATTGCTCAAAATTTGAAAAAAAACACAATTAATTATTCATAGCTTACATTTATGAAATATATGAGATAATATTTTAATTCTTAATTTTGTGCATACATCAGGAGTAGTTCGTTTTTCAGTTAACTGTACTGTCTCAGCATCACTGTCAACACTTTCATTATCCTCATCAATAGCATTGCTATCATCGATATTTTCTTCTGAAATGCCTTGTAATGAAATTTTCTTTGGCCGTAATGAAGTTTTAGTGAAGTCAAATCCTGTTGGAGAAGTTCTAAACTTTGGTGATGTCTATTACAAAAAGGGGAAAGAAAAGAAAACAAATCCAGAAAGAATCAAAGGTAAATCAAAGACTTACAAGTAAAAAATAATTTTCAAGTATTGATTGGCAGAGATTTTAATCAAAATGTCAAGTTTCATTATAAAATGACCAGTTGCAAAAACAATAAGGGTATATTGAATGACAGCTATACCCCCATTGTTTAAGACTCTTCAACAGTGCGCAACTATAATCGTATCAGGCGATTTTAAGGATTCAAGAAGAGCGCTTGGTGAGCATTTAGTCATAGAGAGGAAATCCGGTGGCCAACCTGCAGAATTCTAACTTCTTGCATTTCGTAATATGTCCTCAGTCTCTCCTTTCCTTTTTTCTTTCTTATAACATGACTCACCTCTTTCTGGTGAAATCAAATTCGTCAAATATGATAATGATCCGACTGTCTCTCTTCCTGTCAAGTCCCAATCAGACTGGTGCAAATTTAGTAGCTTTTTGTCAGATATCAGTCACTTATTATTATTGTTTCCTTTAGTTCCTAAAGAAATATAGGGCTTCAGCTGGACGTCTTCATTGCGTTTTTTTTCTCTGTCAACTGTTTCACTTCGCTCCACGTCTGCCCACATGCTTTCATCTCCTCTTCACATGACCTTCTCCATGTCACCCCCCTCGCACTGACGACCAACTCGCCGATTCCCGTGTGGGTTCCACTCCAGAGATGGTATAGAGTACGATGTCACTCACTTGATTTTTTCTTAGAATATGGCCAATCCGCCTCCATTTCTTCCTGCATATTTGCCGCACAATTGGTTTCTGGTTGATTCACTACCAGAGATCCCTTTCGCTGATCTTTTCTGGCCAGCCATCTTATCTTGAATAGAATTGAGCGAAGGCAGCTGTTGATGAAGGTCTGTAGCTTGTTTGAGGTAGTCTTCATGACCCGCCAAGTCTTTGATCCATAAAGTAGCACTGACTTCACATTGGAGTTGAGAATCCAGATCTTATTTTTCATGCTGAGTTCTGTTGACCTTCACACAGAGGCTTGAGAGAAATGAAACCTTGCCTTGGTCTACCGATCCTCGCTTTGATATACACATCAGTTCCATCCGCCCGTAGTTGAAACGATGCTTCCCGGGTGGGCAGGCAAAGGAGGTTGCTTCTTTCAGATTTCTCCCATTTATGCTGGCTGACTGTTGTCTGTTGTGGTTGCTATTGGTGTTGGCCAGGAATCTTCATCACTTCTGTTTTCTGTATGACACATCAGTCAGTGGTCTAAGCTAAGTGGTCTTACGTTAAATTCCTCAAAATGCCTGGCCTATTGACTTCTCTTTAAGACATAAACGCGATCTACAACGACTGATCAGTACACATGATGCTTTTAGTATAGAGGAGACTGGAATAGAAACTAGGTATAAAACAAAATACCCTGGCATAGTTCTATCCTCCTGCCTTACTTGGTCTAACCATATTTTATCGATCACCCGGAAGATGTTCCGTTTAAGCTACTCAACATTAAGAAGCTAGAACAATCTGGAATCACTTAATCTCTGTTTTTACAGTTTGCTAACTCGTGTATCATACCTATTCTACTGTACTGCTCCCCTTTAGGCTTTCTTGGTCTCCTGAAAAAGGACTATGCCATTTCAAGAAGGGTATTAAAGGTTGTCATTAGGGCAAATGGTGTACAACTTATTTGGCGTGTCACTACGTAAGTTGACAGACACCTAAACCTATGCTAAAACTGGTCTAAATCTATATTGTCTATCCCTCAACACTCCCTCTTTCTTCAAATCTCTCCTTGTATCTCATTTGATAGAATCAGAAGTCAGTACAAAAGATTATGTATTCGTACTACCAAGTACTAGAGCTCAACGAAACGATATTTGACCCATGTTCTATGCTATAGAGGCAACGTTAAGTGTGAAACTTATGAATTACTGTATTGTTAGCAAATAATCGGCTACATTTGTTATCTCTTATTTGTAATCTATGGTGACATTATCTTAATTAAATGGTAGTCTTCGCTACTAACATTATTATCATTACTTTACAATTTTTGTACGTTTATGAACTTACTATCACTACTAATACGAAATAAGAGCTACCATTACCAATCCTGTAATAACATTTTTATAATTGTTTCTAATTGTATTCGGTAAAATACGATGCAACAATGTACCAAATACTGAAAATTCCACCCTGTGACATATAGTACTGTTTTCGAATAAAGAAAATTATTTTTGATTGGACACTAGTTAGTCACTAGTGTAATGAGTTTAGTCCTTTGTTTAGTGCAGACTGAATTCCACCAATCAGTCCCTCAAGGTTGGAGATACAGCTTGCTGACTGGTGAGTGCCAACTAACACGAAACCTAGGTCGGGCAAGGCTTCCTGACCAACCAATCATACAATATCATTAAATCAGTGTGCAGCATGCTAGCAAGCCACCTAGAATGGTGGTCACATTAAAAATTCAGTCTGCATCAAAGATAGGAATAGACAAATTACACTAGTTACTGACTTTTGTCTAATAAAAAAAAATATCCAATACAGTCCTACAGTAGATCAATTGCGAGTCTGAATAGCCCAGTAGTACCGTCTCTGATTGCAGCATTGTGTTACGCGGATTTAAATCTCATAAGGGACAAAAGCTCTTTCGAGGTTTCAGATACGCCTTGCCAATGAGTGGCAAATAGCACGAAACCTAGATTCAAGGCTTCCTGAGACCAATTGCCTCTAACTACCTAATTATTGTCAATCTCATAGGCGACTATTGGTCCTCACACTCATATTGATGGACACCTCGTTTTATTACAACCTCTTATTAAGAATTAAACTACTTTATATATATATATATATATATATATATATATATATTCTTACTACCATTGCGTCCCTGTTCGTCAAATCTACATCCAACACGTACAGTAAGAATGACGCAATGGTAACACCAAAGATGTCGAAAATATTCTCACCAATAAAATAGAAAGACATGAAACTATATATTAAAAAATTCTGGAGGTTATACAAGCGCCATGATATGATTACGGGCAAATAACCAATGTCAGCTCATGATGAAATCCTGTAACCAACCAAAACCCTACAAACCAACACTTGAATATCGATGAGATGCTCACTGGCCACTTGCCTTATTCAGGTAGGTAGTTACCTGGGCTGGTCCTAGTGAGAAGTCGTGACCAGTAGGGTGCAGCCGGTCGGGTGTGAGAACAAATACTCGCCGAAGACATTGGCTAGGGGTCGCGCTATGTCATGAATTGGCAGAAGTTAGAATTAATGAACTGGCCACTGGATCGGGTCCCAACGGCTTAATGTTCTACGAGCTCGGCCTATAATCAGAAGGTCCTAGATTCGAACCTCAGCGGGTGCGTACTGTGAAGAGTCCCAAAGTAGGATGAAACAGCTGTCCAGTACTCCCAGGTTTTCCAATGGTTCTCTAACCATTGTCAGCTCATGATGAAATCCTGTAACCAAATAAATTATGTTCAGAAAGTTACCAATATGTTTTATCAAATAGTTGACATGAATTAGAAAACCGGTGGAAATCGAGTAGTACCTAGTTGAAGATTTTTAAGTAGGAGTGAAATTACTCCCCAGGTGGTCCACATGTGAAACTCACTCAAATGAGCAAAGATAAGTCTAACGGCTGTACAGAAGAAATCATGTGACGAGGATATGGTTAACCAGATAAAAAAATTGACTGTATAGAACAGAATATTCCACTCGGAACCCAAGTGAATAGTTATATTAATAGTATTATACAGAAAAAAAATACTTTCATCTACTCGTCAGTTGTAAAAGATAAGAGAAAATATAATAAAAGTTGACACCTACCACACTACCAGTTTTTGATACAATCTGATATGCATGCTGAACAGGAGATTTTTCAGTTGATGATGAATCCAAAGATGGTGAAATACTTGTTCTACGTGAATCGTCACTATTCAACTCATCTAATTGATTGAATGCTTTCAGGAGATTCAGATATAAACGATGTTTAATGCCACCACTACCACCACCACCCGCACCGCCGATGTTACCACTTCCTGTTGTAGGACTAATATTTGATGTCATTGGTATGGATTGATCGGATTTGGATGATTTCAGTATAGCAGTAGAAGAGGGAGTAGGAGATGAATTCATTTGAGATAGTGAAGTAGACGAATGCGATATTAACGAGTCTAATTTACTATTGCTATTATTATTGTTATTATTTATAGTTGATGGGATTAAGGAATTACGACTAGCAAAAATGAATGGTATTGATGGACGATAGGATTTATTGAAAAACGACTGTCCACCTGGTTGAGTAAAAAGAAGAAGGCAAAAATGAATCAATACATAAACGTTAATATTTGTAAAGTTATTCAAAGCAATCGAAAATAAAACGCAATACATAACAATGCCTATTTCACCCCAAAAACAGATGACAAAATGGTTTTCATTCCTTTGAGTCTAGATCGAAAGACAAGACTTCAAACTTCAGTTATTCTTATGGGCTGGGAAGGAAGGTTGTTCACTTCTTCACGTCCAACCGTTCATCATTTCCCGACTTACTACAAGCTAAGTGAGGTAAAGGAGTTCCCTTATTCCGCAGTCGAACGCTGGATCATTCGGATGGTTGGAGAGCATCCTATAGCCAAACCAGTAATGCAAACGCTTTTAGGTTCACATATTATGAGTTTAGAAAGCTTTTTATACACCTGTTTGCGCTTGGGATTCGCACTTCTTTTACACTGACACTGACTTTTAGACTAAACGAATGGTCATATATTTAGTTGGTGGTAAATAGCAGTGAAATTTAAGATGCACATTTCATCCTATTCAGGACTCTTCAACCGACTGTACACACCTTCCCAACAAGTGATTGTATTCTCGCAATTTGTGCGTTCTTGATTCCACTGCTAATCTCTTTAAAACCAAAGTCACTTTACAATAATTCTAAGACGTCATTGAAATGTCTTTGCTCCAAGACAACATATCAACAATCATCGAGGATTTCAGTCCGACATAATTAATCAAAGAGAAATGTAAAATTAATCCAGAAGCAAATAAAAATGTGAAGCGTTGTTTTTCTCATGTTTATGATTACTCAATGACATAACTGAACAGAATGGATCAGTCTTATTTTTTTAGCCTATGGGTTCCTTGAGTAGACGCGTCGATATTATCAACATTTATAACTCGCAATTACTTGTCTGGTTCGAGCTAGAAGTACATGTATATCTAAAAATAATTCCATATCATACTCGTCGCATAAGAGATGAGTCTTGTGTCCCAATGACCTAGTGGAAAACTCTTTAGAGATTAGATCACAGAGCGGAAATCATCACTCAAAGTGGGGACAACCATATCCAACTGATGAGTCTAAAACAGAATGAAAAGTGAATTCTACATTCCATGGTAAGCCACCACAAGATATGTGAAATGTTTAACTGATGAATGCAGCTACAGAAGAACAGAGATCCTAATATTGGAGTTTATACTGATTACATCAATACATAACACTTTGCATATATCGAATGATTTAGGGAAAATAGGAATAGTATTAGGTCTTTAAGCGTAGGACTTGGACACTGGCAAAATGTAATTCCATATCACATAAGCATTAGGTCTATTAATAAGAATATTCTCAGTCGAAACATGAGATAGCTTACTGATTCCAATTCACATAGGATTTGTTAACTCTTAGAAATCTTAAGATTATTGTTAAATAGAGTTAAACTTCCTAGGATCTCCGTCAAACTCCATACTGGAAGACTAGGTTATATAGTAAGCTCTAAAATATCTGGTGCAGTTATAAGTGTATAGCGTCTTTTAACTGAATCAGTAAAATAAGCCACGCCTCAATCCATGTTTGATTTCAAGTTTGACAAGTAAGAGAACCATTGAAAACCAGGTGGTACTGGACAGGCGTTTCATCTTAGTTTTTGAAATCTTCAGCATTACGCACACATTGATGCTCGCTAGTGACCGGCTACAAGGCTAAATTGCATGGAGTTCTAGTGACAAATCGTGACTGTTGGGGTTCGGTAGGTTGACAGTGAGGATAAATAATTACCAATGACACACTGGTGGGCTAGTAGTAGCGCTAAAATCACAAATTGATGGAAGTTAGAATTCATCGGGCATTAAATTCCATCACAGTGACTGGAAAGTTCTGAATTCGAATCCCGGCAGATAAGTACTTGAAGATAAGTACCGAACTAGGAAAAAACAATTTTTCAGTATCACCAGGTTTTCCAGTGGTTCCCTAACTGATTTCAATCCATAGTTGAACTTGGAAAAAATCAATTTCTTAGAAACTTACTCCTGAGAATATTTGGTTAAGTCTACGTTACATGAGCATTTAAGCAAATCAGTCGTTAGGATCTGTTCATATAATATCAATGCCCAAAGAATTATTTAATTACACATTTATCAAGTAAATATACAAATATTACTTGGTATAAAAATAAGGTATACCTACATGGTGATGTAACTGGTAGATCAGATGATGGATCTAAATAACCACCAAATTTGCTTAAACCTTGTTCTAAACAATTTAAAAAAGTAAGAACATGACTTTGAGCATAGAAATGAAATGGTGCCAATTGAATGCCGTCATTACGAATTAGTATAATTGTGTATTGGTCACCTAAGGAAGAAAATATATATCATCAAATAAGCAAATGTGATACTGAACAAGAAATTAAAAGATGCAATAGTAAGAACAATAATAATGTTATTAAATTAGTGAAATGTGAAATTAGTGAAAATATGTGTCCAAACTATGGTTTACAAATAATCTTGGGTGTTTGAATGACTCAGTAATATGTCAGCTCTAAAATTCAAACAAAATGGCAGTCCAGTACTCCTTATTTTCAACTGAGTGGAACAAAGAGCTTAAACAGTACATCTTCATCTTGTCCTGTCCTCTACAGTCCACTTCAACTGGGCCTACGATTGGCCCCAATCTCCCCCTCACATGATTTCCACCATGTGTGCGTCGGTGGCACAGTGGTTATGACGCTTCCCTATCATGCACATGGCCCGGGGTTCGATCCCCTGCCGACGCACACCCGATTTCTATGGTCGACCTGCAAAATTTGGGCTACCGATATCACATGCTGAAAATTCCATACATGTACTCAAAATAAGGTGTGGAATCAAGCTGTAATCAAAATTAAAAAATAAAATGTCACACTCATCGTTTTCCATTCGAGTTGCAATCGAGTAGATCTTCGCACTGATTTCACAGTGATAAAGGTCTGTCTTGACATCCTTATCCGTGAAGTCAGCTGTAGGTAAAATAATGCTGCCTACATAAATGAAGGAAGTGACCTTCGTCAAGCTTCTCCCGTTATTAGTAATTTGTGCATGTTGTGGTTGGTTATCTGCATCACACCAGTTTTCTGTATGCCCATCATTTCCAGTGGCTATCACTTCTGTCAAGTTTTTGGTTTCCACTTGTAATTCTTCAAGTTTTCTGTGACATCAGAGATAAATTCTTCTCGAAGTTCAGATCTTCTACAATCATTTATTCGGTGCAACGTATTCCTGTCTTCTCTCTCCAAATGCACAGTCTGATTTATAATACAGTCCACCACAGTTATGAATATCGTCGGTGATAATAAGCAGCCTTATATTACTCCTGTATTCACTTCAAAGGCTTCGCTGAATGCGTTTTCCGTTGTGGATCCTCTGACACGTGCCACTATCATATAGATGTTGAACGAAGTTTATGGAAATTTGGAGCCCTCTATAGTATTGAAGTTCTTCGTTTTCAACGCTATCGTAGGCCTTTACAAAGTCAATGAAGCTGGGGTAGAGATTTGACTGTCATTCTACACTCTGTTCTATGATGATGTGGAGAGTTGTTGCTATTTGATCCGCATGTGACCTTTGTTTCCAGAATCCAGTTTGTTTCAGTCGTAGTTCTGATTCCATTGCATCTGTTTTCTTTTCACGATGATGCAATATTGTCGTACGAATAAATATAATGTTCGTGCTGATCAAATCCTCATGATTGCATAAACATCACAGCAGTCACCAATACATACTGTCGTTTTGCCAATTTGCGTACGTGGACAACCATCCACGCCTGCTGGCACCCTGTCATGCTATGTCGATCATTCATGCAATAAGTTAACTAGCCTAACCGACATCACTGTCCTACGTTTTTTATTCCCGAAATATATCTCATATTTTAGACGATTGATTTGGTAATTCCATATAAGTTTGTTAATTAGATTTATCACACAGTGAAACAGTATTATTAACTGGATAGATATCTGGGACAGACGTTGAATCATTCCTGTTACACGTACTTGCAATTGATTCGATAAACAAAGCTTCTGTTATCACCCTGCTGTTACATCAGATTTTAAAACTGTCATCTTATCTTATCCTATTGTATTGTTGTGTGTAACTGCATGTAGTCAATGCTATAGCTGCTGAGCTATTCTCCAGATTTCTTATCTTATTCTGGTCAACTAATCTAGATTTTGCTAGGTTTTTACGTTCGACTAGTCTGACTGCCCCTGTTCTACTAGTTTGACTTATGTATTTGACCTAACAATCCTTACAAGCAGGGTATTAGATAAACTAAGTTGTTTTGTTTTAAAGGCCCTGCTGACAGGATCCTTTGACCCACCAAGCTTATTTCCAATTGAGTTTGTGGGTTTGAATGCCACTTTTATTCCTGCCTTATTAAGAATTCTGCGTAAGCTGATTTCCGAGGTTCCTTCCTTGTATGGAATTACTACTGATGATTTGGATTCCTTATTGTTGGTGTTGTTATTATCTTACGCATGTTTGATATGCATGTCGTTATTAATATTACTATTATGATTATTATTCATTGTGTGAAATATCTAATAAATAAACTAATACAGAATTCAAGTGTTGGTTTGTAGGGATTTGACTGGTTTCAGGATTTCATCATGAGCTGACATCAGTTAGAGAACCACTGGAAAACCTGGGAGTACTGGACAGCTGTTTCATCCTAGTTTGGGACTCTTCAGCAGTACGCACCCGCCGCCACGGTTCGAACCCAGGACCTTCTGATTATAGGCCGAGCTCGTAGACCACTAGGCCACTGGGACCTGATCCAATGGCCAGTTCATGAATTCTAACTTCTGCCAATTCATGACATAGCGCGACCCCTAGCCAATGTCTTCGGCAAGCATTTGTACTCATAATCTACCTGCTGCACCCTACTGGTCACGACTTCTCACTAAAACCAGCCCAGGTAACTACCTACCTGAATAAGGCAAGTGGCTAGTGAGCATCTCATCAATATTTAAGTGTTGGTTTGTAGGGATTTGGTTGATTGGTTACAGGATTTCATCATGAGCTGACATCAGTTAGAGAACCATTGGAAAACCTGGGAGTACTGGACAAGTGTTTCGTCCTAGTTTGGGACTCTTCAGCAGTACGCACTCACCGGGATTCGAATTACTTACTTACTACCATAGTGCCCAAGTTTTACACATAGATTAATTTGGTATTTTGATTTGCCTCTAGTCTCAGCAGAACTGTGGCTTAATACAGATTGATAAAAAGCAGCTGAAACTGAAATCAACACATTTTAAGTCGATGGATGCATAGGCAGAAGTGTTTATCCCCCAAGTGTGTAACTATTTTACGTTGTGGTCTAGAAACACGCTCACTGGACAACTTTTCTATCAACTTTGGGCCAAATGCCAATCAATTAAAACAATGTATTGTTCACTGACCTTGCCAACTTTTAATGTGGTTAAGACATGTGTATAAATGTGATGTGATTTTTTTTAAATAAAAAATTCCATTACTAATTTTTTTTATCTTCCACCATTACAGAATGAGTAATTTTCGAGTTGTAGGAGAGAAACTTGAGTTTATATACACACTTCATCTTCTAAACTAGCTTCTAATATGCACATTATTATACACTAAACAGCAAACTAATTCGATGAATAAATTCTGTAGGTGTAATTCTCAAGGAAACGGGAAAAAATCTTACAGGTACTTACTTGATTCATGACAATGAGCATAAACAATGTCATCCATTTTAATTTTGATTGCATAACCCCAGTAGGTTCTGAAGAGAGAAAAAAATGAAGATAACGAAGTCAAATGATTGTAATTTATGCAACTTTTTTTACAGACATGATAGAGTATATTAAGAGAGCATAGAAAGAGATAATGATGATAAGAATAAATTCAATCAGTATTTAAACAAGGCTGCCTACTGTCTCCAGTGACTTTCCTGATTGTGATAGACTGGATAATCGAACAGACAACGGTGGGTAGCGAAGAAACAGGCATAAAATGGATCTACACAAAAAACTTGGAGGATCTGAAATTCACCGATGAAATATATATCTGATTTCCCATAAATTGGAAGATATGCGAGTAGAAAGAAACAAGTTGGTAGAAGAAGCATCCAGAGCAGATAGGACTTCGAGTGAAAATAGAGAAAACAGATGTGGTGATGAAGATTTCTGGTCAACACCAACCACAACAGACCACAATCAGCCAGCAAAAATGGGAGAAATCTGGAAAGTATCGTTTCAACTATAGGAGGATGGAACTGATGAGAGTATCAAGAGAGAATCAGGAAAGCAAGACAAGCTTTCATTACTGTCAAGTCTGTGTGGAAGAAAACAGCACTGACCATGAAAAATAAGGTCCGGATTTTCAACTTCAATGTGAAATTAGTGCTACCTTATGGATCAGATACTTGGCGCGTCATGAAGAGCACTTCGAACAAACTACAGACCTTCATTAACAGTTTTCTTCGCTCAATACTCGAGATCAGATGGCCAGAAAGGATCAGCGACAGGGATCTCTGGAAGCGAAAGGACCAGAAACCGACTGTGCAACAAATGAGCAGAAATAAATGGAGGTGGATTGGCCATACTCTGAGAAAACCATCAAGTGACATCACAAGACAGGCCCTCAAGTGAAACACGAATGGAAAGCGGCAAGTTGGTCGTCCAAGAGTGCAGGAGGTCATGTGAAGAGGAGATGAAAGCATGTGGGCAGACATGGAGCAGTAAATGACTCTGGAAGTATGGTTAACATCAGTTTTTTGTTCTGTAGCCACAAGATGAGATATAATAGAGCTATGAATGGAATTTGTCTGTCCTTTACTTAACCACGTAGGGTGACGTTCGGAAATCCAACGATAAACACGCCTATTTGAACAGCCTAAGTAACTGGTCACACAGCAGCAGTCTTTTGGATAGAGAACACAAGATTAATGTTAACGAGGAGGCCTTCAAAGTCACCTACCACACACTAACTAATCTTAACTTCACCTTAAGAGTTCGTTTACTAAATACTGCTGAGCCTGTTGGGATCCACATTAAGAAGCCTAATTTATGTGTCCAAAAGAAGCTAGTTCAGATATTGTCTATACCTTGTCCATCTAGGTTCGAATGGTTCACAGTTGTTTGCAGAAATTCTCCTTATTTTAGATGATATTGTATCTGTTATTACATTTGTATGCTTAATATAAGTTATGCATACTCCTTGAACTATAATTTCATTGATCTTGCTTGACAAATTGATATTATTTAAAAAGCATCCATATTGTTAATGACAATTATTCTAGAATATTCTATATATATAAAAATATATATGATTGTAGAGCCAGAAGAGGAAATGATCGAAAACAATATTCTTTGCCCATTTTTTTTGTTTTTTATAAATGTCTGAATGAATATTTTGTCTATATTGAAATCTGAAAAAAGAGGTGTTTAAGAGGACGCTAATCAATACAAACTTCAAATATTGGTTTTGTAGGGATTTTGTTTGATTGTATGGAGGATTTCACCATGAGCTGACATCAGTTAGAGAACCACTGGAAAACCTGGGAGTACTGGACAGCTGTTTCATCCTAGTTTGGGACTCTTCAGCAGTACGCTGGGTTCGAACCCCGGTGGGTGCGTACTGCTGAAGAGTGGTTCTCTAACTGACGTCAACTCATGGTGAAATCCTCCATAAAAACAATTTTCAAACTTTTCCATACACGACTGTCGCTTCAGATGCACATAAGTTAGTTGATGAGATTCTAACTTTAAAAGAGGTTGAATTTAACCTCGTAGATAACAGGGAAGGTGTCGGTGGTTTAGCGGTAGGGTGTTGGTCAACCATTCTCGTGGTCAGGGATTCGAGTCCCTGCCAGTGCATACCTTTGTCTTCATTAGCTCGTTATAATTCCGACATAGAGTATAGTTGGACGTGATACTAGCAATTCCATCCAGTAATAAAACACCACTGCTACTGAGAATTCAAAACTCCAGCGTGAAGCCCTATGTTTCACTGGGAACGCAAAGGCATAAAAATATAAAAAAGATAACAGTTAAAACTACATCACGTTGTGGTGAGAGCTGTCTACAAGATAAAATAGGCAGACAACAATTTACTTTAATGTTTACTTCCCAGATCGGGGTTAGAAGAGAAAACAAGAAAAACGCACAACCTTGAGGAACTCAGCAGTCAATCACAGCGGCATTAACATGGGCAGATACGATTCGCAGAGACATCAACAGACTGTGTAAGAAACGGCACCAAAGAGATGACAGGATAACCTTCAGCAAGAAAACAACCAATCAGAAGATGTTGCTTCTCTGTTAACAATAGCGCTAATAATAATGTACATAAAAATCTATAAATATCTGTTGATTTCCTCAATAGACAATCTGTTATCTAACCTTTGTCTTCTGTCGTTACAGCGTAACCTGCAAAGTTGTCCTCAAATAAAATATTTTATCATCTTATGCTTATCTTTCAGCAAACACTATGTTCAACTATCCATTCACACAGAACGAACTTACGAGGTTAACATTTTAGAATATGCATATTTGACGCGCTTAGGTAGACACAGATCATTGTACATCCCAGGCATTTATCCCAGCATATTTAACAGCGAATAATCAATAAAATGTATAAGATATGAGCATTAAACAAAAAAAAACAAAAAACAACAGTACTCAACTCACTCTTTATCACCAATACTATCAATATCCATTCTTGAGTCAACCAATGAATCCATAGATGAATAAATATTATTGTTACTGCCACCACAAGTATTACTACCAACAGTGTTAATATTATTGATTGATAATGATAAATTCTGTTGATTTGTTACAGCTGAATTTGGTGTCCATTTGAGTACAATTAATTTACCCGATTCACCGTCAATCAATGATAAGTATCCAGGAATTGGATCAGGTGAATTAGGCTTTGCATAGAAAAATAAATAAACAAGCCAACAAAATAAATAAGTATATAAATCAAACTATGCATGTTATCTGGGGTTCGAGTTCCGACCGGCGAACACACCTTTACCTCCCTTACCCTGTTATAATCCCAAAAAAGAGGAAAGGTTCGACCACCAACCCACCTCGTAAAAAACACCAATGTTACTGAAATTTTATAAGCTGTAGCTTGAAGCCCTATGTTCCACCAGGAACATCAAGCAATCAAATAAAATAATAAATCAAAATTGATTTTGTCACGAACTGAGTTCATTTAGAATGTATTGGAAAATTGCCTTGTCCCATGTTCTCTAATTAATTATTGTCACCTCATGACAAATCCTACTTTGAAACACGTGAAATCTTTGAAAACTAACAACTGAATGTATATATATATATATATATATATATGAAAAAGAGGAGACTTTCTGGGAAGAAACTTTTTTCGGCGAATTCATTCACATAGCTGTACAATCGCATCTATATATAATTATTTTGTGTGTGTACATGAGGTTTGTCAAGTTTAGATGATTAATTAGGTAATAGAAGAATGATCTAATATAGAAACACGGTTAATTAGACAGCAACTTAAGTAAGATTGAGTTAGTAAGTTAGATGACGTAATATAACTGACCAAAATGTTTCAACTTGGGTCAGGATAGCAACAGAGAGGTAATTAATGGTAGAGACTAAGTAGAGGTGGGGTAGAGAATAATGCCATTTAAATTAGGACGTTACATAAATGACTAGAAATCGAGTGTTGGTCAAGTCAGTAACACAGGTAATGAGATATAGAAATTAAATCAGGTCGGGGTAGAGAACAAGAAAGTTTAGAATGTAAAATATTACAATTGAGAAGATAAAATAATACTAATGAAGAGATAGAAGAAAAAAAAGATTAGGTAGAATTTACTCGTCGGGTAATAAAATAAATTAAGTCCATTGCAAGTGTAGTGATTGAAAGAACTTCTTCTGTATACAGAGTTCAGGACTTAGCAAGTGAGTCGCCATTGCTTCTTCAGTTTGAAAGTGTCAGATTCGTACACTTTTAGGAAGACTGCTTCGTATTCTGTAGACGACTTTGGGGTATAGTATGGTGTCCGGAATCTATCAGATGTTCTAAGATAGAGCCACGGGGGCATCGATTTTCTCCCTTGTAAAACCATGCTAGTAAGTGTTCTGTGATACGTTTGGAAAGCAAACGCTGGCTACGGCCGACAAACCTGGCTCCAAACGAGCATATATATATATATATATATGCATTCTGGTGTACATAAAGCCCAATAGTTCAGTTAAGAAGGCTTCGTTGTATTTCTGAATAACGTCTTCAATGTCTTATTTCAGGATGAAGTTAGCTACATAATTTTATAGCATCCCACCCCTCACCGCAATACTCGTTCTGTCCATGCTTTAGCTTTTCACTTTTCATTCTACAATGACTGATGCATTGTGGTTTATTTACCAGCTGAATATCTTCGTAGGTATTTCTCACAGGCAACATATACATATATATCACCGTATGAAGAGTATTCACTTGAGAAGTTCTAGCGACATTTAATGAATTCGTTAAATTCTGCCTTGCTAAAACTTTATTGCTTGAATTTCAAATTCATATCACGAAATTATTATGAGTATTCATTCCTTGCATTCTGAGTGAAATATACGCCTACAGTTCAAATACAATTTCACTCTGCATATATGTTGAGTAAAAAGATTCCTGGCATATGAGCTGCATTGCCATAGTCTATTGTTACTTAACCTCACTAACTGTTCATTTGATTTTTGGTATATAAAGAAAGCAGTTGTTGATGACAGCCTGTAGTCTGTTTGAGATGGCTGCACGAAGACTCTCAAGCACATAAGACCAGTGAATTGAAATTAATGTCAAAAAGACAGATATTGTTTCTTCTGGTGAGTGCAATTAATTCTCAAGATGGTCATCCCTTTATCATCCTCACCTGTGCTACCTATTATTGAGACAATGCTTCCGGGTAATCGAAAAAGATGACTTCCTTGACATTTTCTTTAAAGATAGTGATTGATGCTTGTCGTTATCTTCATCACATCTGCATTCTCTATATATTCACTTGAAGTTTTGTCTGGACTGCATCTTGTGCCAGCTTGTTGCTTTTCGTCCACAGATCTACGAGTTTGTGTTCAAATCCTTTACATCCGTTTTGTAGACTAGCGCGTCCCCATCTTCTTGCTCCCCATGTATAGTCTGTTGCATCATTCAGTCCATCACAATCAGTGATAGCAAGGAACCCTGTCTTACTCCTACATTCATATACAAGGCTTTTCTGAGATGTGGTGTCATCTAATACCTATTGAATGAGGCTGATATAGGTTTGGGACACTCAGTAGTATTGTAATAGTATGTAGTTCCTTATTAGTTTGTTTGTCGGATGTATCACAAACACAAACACACAGTCAAACAGTATTATTCTCTGGATGACCAGACTGTACACACGGTTGAAGGACAATAATCAACAAATAGGATTCAGCAAACATAACGCTGATCACCAACCATTCTATGTGCCAACATCAAAGAGAAAAGCATGATAGTTTAAGGTATGCTGCTAGGCTACAAAAATAAATTATACTGTAAGGTGTCCAAATTCTAGTTCACTTTTAATGCTGAACAATCTATCACATTTTTAATTAATTATATAGTAGCAAGTGTAATAATTCAACACACTATTCTAATGCTGTTGATTATTCTATCATAAGGAACACTGATTTAAGTTAGTTCTATATCTCCTGTTGACTGATTACATTGGACCAAAATATTCAGTCTCTGATGACATGTCGGTTCCTTCCGGTATGGACAGTTAGACGATGTATGAGAGCTAACATGATGTTGTTACCTGGTGACTGGTGACTAGCACTCGAATCCATGAGGTGCATTTCGTCTCATTTGGAATTCTTCAATTGAATGTACCTGCAATAATCACCCAGTAGGTGATAGTGTGTTCTCAGTGAGATTTGGATCCAGTACGCATCGTTTCAGACGCGAAAGCCCTGTAATCTAGACCACTGGACACCTCTTGTGCAACCAGTATCACTTATTATTTGTTTCCAAGTTAATTTTGTACTTCCCGTTGATTGATTATATTGAGACGATTACACATACATTAAACTGACGAGTCCCGCCCACTTAGGAGGAAATGAGCAGCCTAGATTCAACTGCCAGTCATCATCCATCATATAACAAACGTGACAGTGACTAATCAACTACTTTTATTAGTAACATTCGTTTGAATACACTTGATTAAGGATCTGGTCCAAATGAGATGCCCTGGTTTATCTGATTTGATTGAATTCATGTTTTATGTTTGATTCATAACCACCGGTGTTGTTTCTCTTGCATGGACCATAGTGTATTAGCTCTAGTTACTGTTCAGTTTGACAAAAGAAAAGATACTGACTTCATATTCTCCACTATTTTCAAGTCATTTTGATCAAACTGAGTAACATTTTCATCACAATGCATATTGAGATATTGGTGAGGATTACTCCACTAGCTTATATATCAGTGCATTAAAAGAGTAGGAAGATTTCGTAAGAAGAGAAGGGATTAGTGATTGCTATTATGTTGGTGTCCCGTTCTCAGTCTCACCTACAGCATTACCAGTAGTTGTTTACTAGTTAAAATACATCTGTTTTCATCTCATGTCTTCCTAATGGAAGACCCAACTTCGAGGGCTGAAGTTTCGGTAGCGACTATGTCGTTTTTGTATCGGGTAGGGTTACAAGCTTTACGCACAACTTCCCTTCTTCTTCCCCAGACTTACTATGTGTTAGTAAACTGGGCGAGGTTTAAGAGTTCATCAACCTCCTTGGCCACATCCGTGGCTGGGGAGGACTTTTATAACTGATCAAATGACGCGAACCGTAGTTGTTGTTACTTGATGGTTCGAGGCGATCGACACAAAGCTTTGGTCTTACGTCTCGTGCTTTTTGGCACTCATCAGTCAGCAAGGCGTATCTGCAACCTTGAAGGAACTCATGTCCCTTATGCGATTCGAACCCGCGTCATCCAGTACTCCAGTTATAGGCGTCTTATAGTCCTACATGAGTTTAACTACCAGCCCTAATAGATCACTGGTAACATCTTAGAAGGAACATGAGTTCCTTAAAGATTTCAGATACACCTTGCTGACCAATGAGTGCCAAGAAGCACGAAACCTAGGTGCAAGGCTTCCTGTCGATTGCTATCAACTATCTAACAACAACAGTTCAGAGTGATGTATGATAGCGAACCATCACCTAGCATAGCAATCACATTGCAAAATTGACTGACAGAAATCAGTCTGCCCCAATGCTATGTAGAACTAAACTCATGACATTAGTTGGTGTGCAATAAAAGACACAAACTAGTCAACAGGAATAGCAGAAAAGAAATGGGTAATATAAATATGGCTAGTTAAACTTACTGTTTGCATTAATACATTATTCTTTCCATATAATAATCTATTTTTTAAATTTTGATGCATTGATTCTACATGATCTTTAGCTGCCATTGCTATATCTTTAGTTGATTTTTGATTACGATTCGTTTTAGTTGAATTGTATTCATTAATTTGTGGTAGAAATGCACATGAACCAGTTCGTGATCCTCGACTCATAAGTAGATCATTCTATTCAAAAATGTAAATATAAATAAGTATGAACAGTGCAGGAGGAGTTAGTGTGTATTCATTAGAATTGAAGCATTTTCTCTGGTGAAAAAAGTAGAAAATTAATGGTAGTATTGTGGTACGTGCTACTGAAAAGATTTATAGATACCGACATAAATATGTATATCAGCGTCGGGGTTTGAGGTGAGATTTAACCACGGTTAATATTTGGAAACCGTAATTATTCACATCAGATATGCGCGTATCTGACTATTCACATCAACCAATAAGTAGTATGATAGCATGACTCATAAAATTGCAGTTGAATCAGTTCACACGTGTTCGCAGGCTTTGTTGATTATCTTTCATACTGTAATTGGTTTGCACCGGAAACTGTGGTAAAGTTTCCCCTATCGAATTGCATAAATTACAAATCGACAAGTAAATTTTGCAAGTGGCTAAATTGGATTTTCAAGTATTGGTTTGCTGGGACTTGATTAGTTACAAGTGTTCGATCACGAGTTGACGCAGGTTAGCGAACCATTCGAAAATCAACCAGGAGTACTAGATAGCTGTCTTATCCTGGTTCAGGACTTTCGGTAATAGGCACCGACTGTGGTTCAAACCCAGGGTCTGCCAGCTCGTAGAACATTCAATCACTAGGACTCAAGTCAGTGTTTCGTGAATCCAAACTACTGCCAATTCGCCATATATATAGCGCAACCACCAGCAAATGTGATTGTAGAGTAACTATTCTCTTATTTGACTTTGTATACTTGACTTGGATTTTGTCATTGCCTGTATCATTGCACATATTTTTTAAAGTTAATTTTATACTTCAGTAAAAAGTTTGAGCATTGTGGATTAGATCAAATAAAGTATAATTATCTTTATTTAATTTTATACTACTGAATAATAAATAGTAGCTCAACATAACGTTTGAAATATGACTTGACATCAAACAGATTAGAAAATGTTATATTTCAAATGAATTTCAAATAAATAATGCGATAAATTTGACAATGAAATCTATCTCTTATGCACAAATAATATTCCGTCAAATTAAACCCAATTTAATGACTATGCACTCGATAGTGTGTTATCCAATTATCCTTTCATTTTTTACAGTCTAGGTGGGCATAAACGGCTTTAAGTCGATCTGGAATTTCAAGAGTGGTAATGATGTTTTCACGGGGGAGGCCAGTGGTTATCCTCACACCAAAAATTTCCTTTTTTTTTGTGGTTTGCTAGTATCTAGTAAATTGGAATTTCTGGATGTCAACGACAAGGAATGAAAAACCCGAATACCCACTTGGTCAGTTATCATCCTAATATTGAACCATACACGCTGTTATATTTATCATTTATACATTTCGAAACCTTGAGTATTTAGAAAATTTGAAGTTACAACCTTAATTTCAACTATTCTGACGAAATTTGATTGTCAACTCTATTTGTCTCTAAATGTGTCTCAGTGGTTGAAGTACATTATCATTAGTTGTTATTCCTTTGGGTTCTTAGTGGGACATACAGCTTCAACAATATATCTCCACATTCTTCTATTTTGTGCTTTCCTCTTCAGGTGGGTTCACGATTACCTATAATCCCTCATCTCCTTCTCATCAAACGATCTCCTCCATGTCAGCCTCGCAACGACGACCCACTTGTCGGTTTCCATTGGTATTTTACTCGAGAGATGGCCTGCATTTCCGTCGATGCCATTCGGCGGCCTACTCAGTGTATGCCCTATCCATCCAGTTTTTCCTACATATTTGTTGAGCCATCGGATGTTGGTTGATTTATCACCTCCCGCAGTTTCTTGTTGGTAGTTCTTTCAGGTGAGCTGGTCATCTGATCTTCAGTATGGAGCCAACGAAGGGGGCTATTGATAAAAGTCTGTAACTTGTTGGAAATCCTTTTCATGACACACGCTGGACAAGTTTCTGACCCATATAGAAGTAGTGACTGACTGACTTCACATTTGTGTTGAAAACCCAAATCTTGTTCTTGATGTTAGCTGATTTATTGCAGAAGATTTTCAAACTGGCTTCAGATTGATGAATGCATATCTCGCCTTTCCAATTCTGGCTGGCTTTCACATCTCCATCCGATGAGATGAATGCTACCCCTCTGACCACTAACAATAAACACCAATCATCATCACTTCTTTTGCTTATTTAGATAGTACCGCTTATCCTGTAGTTGACATCATGCATGAAGATGTCAAAAGCACGAACAGAAAAGCCAGATCGACATCAGTTATTCCAAAATCGATTTGAAAATCAGCAGAATTCAGCATAATGAACAAGATTCGAATTTTCACCACTTGAATCAAGTTAGTTACTGTTTCTACAGAGTTCAGAGATTAGGGCCACCTGTCAAAAAAAACACATTCCCAACAAGCTTCAAACTTTTATCAACATCTGCATTTCTTTCCACACTGAATATTAGATAGTTGAGATGGATTATTGACAAAGGAATCTGGCAAAAACTCAACTAAGAACCTATTGCCAAACAAATATACAGGAAGATGGAAGGAAGGAAGGATATAGATTGGATGCATTCTGAGAATATGGTTGACTGACTTCATGCACCAAGCCTTCAGGTCAAATACGGATAGAAAATGACGTGTTTGACTTTCGAAGTAGACATGGAACAGATCTTGTAAGCAGAAGCAGAGAAAAGTTTGTGGGTAGTCGTGAAACCAGGTAAAAATGATTTCAGAGAACAGGATGTAAAGGCGATGTTCTGTCGATGTCCAATGTTTCATTTGGAACGCTAAGATATCACAACAATTACTAAGAAGGAGTACTGAGGCAGAAATCAAATCAAGCAAACGAATACACAATCAAATGAATGCGTATATATATATATATTTATATATAGCGCTGTAAAGAATACAGTATAGATTACTGATTATAATGTAGTATATGAACATCCCAATCGTTACAGATCAATAGAAATTTGTTATAAACATAATCTCTTCTTTAATACTAATACCACTAATAATACAGCTTTACAGTCAATAAGACTAAAAATATCCCCTTTTCTTAATTCGCTTATAATTATTATTTGAAATTTCGCTTGGCAGTAGTGTAAATGGTGGATGGTGACTAGCAGTGGAATCCAGGATGTGCATGCCATCCTATTTAAGACTCGTCATCTGGATGCATCTGCATTGTGAGTGATGATATTTCGACCAAGGCTTGAACCCAGTACCAATAGTCTCAAACGCTAACGCGTTATCCAGCCGACGAGTCCCAAATAGGACGAAATGCGTTTTATCCTGGATTCCACTGCGTACCAAGCCAGTCAGCTGTGCATAATGTGGAGAGGCTTATGATACCAAACAGACATAATTAGGTGGGGAGAGACTCGAAATATGGATTCATTGACTGTGATTCGAGTGCTTAAGCTAATGTGTCGTGTTTCTAAAGCTGGATGAATTATAAACAACTATCTAGTAGATAGTGTTAATAATTATTACTCCCATGGTTTTCCATTGGAATGTGAGAATTCAGCAGCCTACCTGCACTTCGCTGTGTTCCGTACAGTCCTTTTAGCCCGCTTTACAATAACCCGAACTCTTCCATTCCCATTCGCACATGGTTTCCTTCATGTCACTCTAACACACACGCTCACTTTGTCGCCTCCCTCTCAGGTTCCCCTCAAAGCTTTACGTATTATTGTGTGAAATTTGATAGCATAGAATTTATCGTTGTAAAAAAGAATTGATTTAGAATGACAAGTGGGACAAGTGAAATTGTCCCGGGGACAGTTCAGAGTGAGAGTAGTGATAGTAACAATTGACGTAATTAGGAAGAGACTACAAAGTGAATAGACAAAATGAAAAAATGAAAAATTGGTAGAGCTAAAATATGATTGGGGATAGAGGGATTAAAACCATGAAAGTTGGAAGGGTTGAACGAACTTTTTCTGTATGCAGAGATCTGGCTTTTCTGTTTCGATAGCCAAAGTTGGCTTCAGCAATACAGATGAGTCGGGTACGTAGGGATTTGGGTAATTTACTCTTTGCCTTGTAGACGACTTTAAAGGCGGAGGCTATAGAGATAGGGTGATCATTATCGATCAGATGTTCAATGATTGCGCTTCTTATTGCTTCATTTCCACCTCTTCGCAACCATGTAGGATAGTGTTCTTGCAACCTCTTGGACAAAAGTCGAGTCGAACGACCAATATACCTAGCTCCACACGAGCAGGTGAATTGATAAATAAATTCAGTCAAACATATAGAAGTGTTGAATGACTTGAGGTCAGTGTTGAAAACTCGGATTTCTTGGTATTAACTGCAAAGTATTTCCACACTCATTTCGGAGTAATGAACGTCTAGCAGACAGTGTTACCTTTCAAAGTAGTCTTTAAAGTGAAATGTTATCAATCCATGACGTTCGGTTCAGAAAAATAATCCTCGACAACCACGCATGTGTTGTGTTTTCGACTACCAGTAGACGCTCACTATTAAGTCTCACCAAGCCGGTAGTATATGTCATAAGGAGAAACGGTTGGCTAACAACTCCACCTAGGTTAAGAAAACACTAACTCTGTAACGGAAGAAGACAGAAGACTTGGTAAGGAATTGTTTAATTGACGATTTGGTATCTCTTTACAGCCAAATTATGTACACCTTATCTTCGACGCATCATTTGCATTGATCTTCCGTGTTGTGCTACTTATGCCTTTACCTTCATATTGTGTTTCTTTGTCTTCCTTTCACGTTGTCTCCCATGTATCTCCTCAACGCTGTATTATTTACTTTCGATTTATACACTACTGATAAATCTCATCAGTAGTACACTCCACAACGCTACCGAAACTACAACAAAGACTTTAAGCCCTATGTTCCACTACCCAGAATGCAAAGAATGAAGAAAACTGTTGAGTAACATAATAAACTTTATAAAAACGACTAAAAGTGGAAATTAAAAGATGAAAAATAATTAAATGTGTATTTCAACATTTATTCCAGCTTAATTTTGAGTCATTTTTGCTTAACAAACAGACAAGAAACACCATTAATCTGACGGACGTCTTATATCACCTAGCTATGGAGATCATTAAATGATCTAATCACGGGTATGAAAGCAATTCTTTCGTGTACTTTCTTATCGTTATTTTATCGTAAAACATTTAAGCAAAGAAACGTGGTAAGTAATTTCGATATTAGAGAGGGAAGTAAGCCAATCAGCGAAGCATGAGTTATACATGTCAAACTATCAGTGCTAGCAGAAGTAGGATTCTCTTTCAAGACAGTTGACTTGAAAGTGAAGAGTATTGGTAATTATTGTTGCGGGGTTTAATTTCTTCGTGAATTAACTGAAATTTAAACGGAATTAACATTGTGTGCCAACAGAGCCCAGGGGATAAGTACTTTAAGCTTGCCAAACAAAGCCTGTTTGAAGTGATTTTGGAGTTGCTCCCACATGAAGACGTAACCACCGTCTATGGACTCCCGCTTGGTAAGTAAGGATGTCCAACATCGGACGAAAACCTTTCCTAATACCCCACCCAAAACGTAGTGACAGCATGGTAGGCTTGTTAGCCGTCTAAGGGAAGAACCTTACGGTTATTATTGAGTACGACGTCACCCTCAGACCTCTAACATATTATCAGTGACTTACATTATGGTGATGACTACTTTACGTTTAGCCGTTAACCCGAAGAACTTTCTGGTTTGGTGAAACCTGAAGAAACATTCTTTCTAGCCAATGTAGTTCGTAGGGCCACTGCTTTATGTAAGCTCGACCCTCATATGAAAATGGCAACTGCTGTTTGAGTTGAAAGAGAATTAGGCCTAATCAGGTAGAAAAACAGTATCAGTATATACATTATCTATCCATGTAATTATTCCCTTGGACTCCGAGTCGAAGATATGGATTTAGCAGCACACCACCACTTCACTCTGTTCTCTTAATTCTTTTTAAGCTGGCTTCTAAGCTCGCATTTCCTCGATGAACAATGTCCTCCATATAACTTTCGAGTTGAAGCCCAACTCGTGAATTATAATTCGGAACCCGCTCAAGAACCTGCTATGTAGTTGCATACAACAGTCTGCCGTAGCATGTATTCAATCCATCCCAGATTAATAAACTTCACAAATTATCATAATTTCGCTGGAAGCCATAAGGAATTTCGCTCTGTTCTAAACATAAGAGAAACGTTATGAGATTCTGTATGCTGGAAGTGATTATAAAAGGTCAACAAGTTACTTATTTGCTTACTATAAAAGTAATCGTGATTTTAAAAATACTCAGAAGTATAACTTCACAGAACATTTCCATGTATTGAACTGGATTTTAGATATTCATCCATTAAAGCATGATCGACTCAATTTTTCTACGTGGATTGTTTGTCTACTTATCAGTAGTGTGAATAGTAATCCAAAAACGCGGCTGGTATTAATGCTCTGAATATCAATGTCATTATGGATTATTTTGAAATTCCCCGTGAAGAATGTGTTCAGTAATTAGTTCAATCGATCTCCTTAGCTTCCTCTGTACAATATAAGATTGATCTCAACTTTTTTTGAAGAAGGATCAATCACTATTAACTTCAGTACATTAACTTTTATTGGTTTGTCCCCAAGAATTAGATTTTAATGCCCGGCGATTTGAATGTGTCGTGAAATAGTTCTTCATTAGCATTTAAACCCGAAAGGAGTGAAGAAGAAAATACCTAAGTGGGTAATATTATGAATTTTTTGTAACATGTCAATCAGAAAAACAAACTAATTTATATCAAATATTGAGCTTAAGTGTATGTAACATATGAGTAATCATAGAAAATTCATTAAACTATAGGTTCCACAGCAGGCCACGGTAGCAATAGTGGCTAGAGTTGTCCCTTTTCACTCAGAGCCATCGTCAATTTCAGCAGGCTGTATTGGTCTCTGTGGTTTGGAGTTTTGGTATCCAGAGGCTTTTGGTAATTTATTCAATTTACGATAGATGATAGGAAACGACTCTTCGGCGGTAGCTTTGTGGCCTGTTTGAACGAGTTGACGTAACGCAGAACTTTTGATGATTTTAACTACGCTATTAGTTAACCACATTGATAAGTATTCCCCGAGTACAAAAAATTAGGTCTATGAAGCAATGACCAACATAACCTACTAGTGTGTAACAGTCGAATTAATAGTTACAAAAAAGGTGGCTAGCCTAAGCACTTCGTCTTTCACAGTTTGAGAATCACGGCTGTTGCTCTAGAAACCTAATTTTTGTTCTCGGGAGCACCTACCAGTATGGTTAAATACAGGCGAGGCTTAGTGACTCAATGGTTTACGAGCTCACCTTGTACCAGAAGGTCCTGGGTTCGAACCCGGTGAATGCGCTCTGATGAAGAGTCCTAAACTAGGACAAAACAGCTCTCCACTATTCCCAGGTTTTTCAGTGGTTCTCTGGCTGATGCCAGCTCATTATGAAATCCTCCATTCAGATACAGGTGTAATCAAAACCATCAACAGTCCTCTCTTAGACCACTTTGTCCAAACAGGCTACAAAGTCTTTTTGTGTTGGTATTAGATGGTTGAAGGCAATCACAGCAGGAAGACCTGGACCTAGACTTCCTACTAGTTGGCACTCATAAGCATATTCTTGATTCACTATTTGGCTTTTGAAGTCATATTTCTTTCTATAAAGTATCAATTAAGTTACTCAAAAACCACTTGCTATTCCATGCAGTTAGCCATGAGCTATACATACTGTGTGAGAGTTAATGATATCACCTGACTATCATTAGGTCATAGATAGCAGGATTGGAACCGTCAACTCATTGTTTGCAAGTCAAGCGCATAAGTTCAATGAGTCACACATGACAGACTACAACACGGAAGGAACAGGCGACTTTTCAACAATATCATTTATTTTTAGCCCTGAATACAGTCTAAAGTAACTTTTTTCAACTATTTTTCAGTCATAACAATGATTCTACACATTGTCAGTCAATTTCGCTTTTCTTTTTCATGCCTACTACGTGCTGGAACTATAGGAAAGAATTGACATTTCATTGATATTACAAACAGTTAGAAGCCCAACGAAATGAAGTTCAATATGGTTACTCTAGGAATTAATTACAAAACACATAGTTACTGACGGGGTTCAACTTTTACGATCTCATCTGAGAGGTAATAGTAATTATGATTTGCTTTATACTAAAACAATATTTGTGATACAGAATGGAATTCTCAGCATTTCATTACAATATTGCATCTAGTTTGTACATTAACAATAAATAAAATTCTACATAGATTATGGGTAGTCACAGTTAATTTTGACAACAACATGTTAGCATATCGGTAGCAGAGTCAAAAGTGAACAGAATGTTTTAAGGTGTTAGAAAAGTAGGTGCTAGCATATTTACTGGCGTGAGTGGTAACAAAAAGGTCGAGATCTACAGAGTGTGAAAGAACGAAGAAGAATGTTTTAAGTGAAAAAAAAGAGAAAAGGAAAAGAAAGAAAGAAAACGTTGTACCTATAAATGATATGAGTTGGAAAGACGAAATCCAGTTGTTCTACTGACTATTTAATGAGTTATAAGTTTCGAGCCTAATGCTTTCTTCATCTCACAGAACACGAGCTAAGTGGCGTATGGCTGAATTTTTGTACTTGCTAGTGCGAGCATATAGTTTTCTATATAGGCTTCTGGTTCTGTCTGATGAGATACAAGGGGAGAGTTGTGAATGAGGAGGGTGGTGTGAGTTAGATAAAATGGATTGATTTTGCCCATTTTTCACATGAGCCCAAGTGCCTGTCGACCAGAATATTAACAAGCTGGTTAAGTGGCACATTGTTTGCCCTGCTGACAACCTTTAAAATCCTGCGTAATAAGGTGTAGTCTTTCTTCAATAGCCCAGGAAAAACTAAGGGGGAACAATAGAGAATAATAGGCAGGGTGCAAGAGTTGACGAATCATAGGAGTAAGGGTTGGGTTATACCGGAATGTCTTAACTTCTTGATGTAGAAGATAAGACGGAATATTCTCTTAGAAATCGTCAGGATATGAGACGACCAGGAAAGATCAGCAGATAGAATGACACCTAGGCATTTAATTTCCGACATAGTTTCTATTTCAGTGCCATCTATGTTGCACACCTCATGAGTGCTAACCAGTTTGTTTAGGTTAGATTTATGCCTAAAGGTGAAATTGACTGTTTGATATTTAGAGGGATTTAAGGTTAGACCGTTTTCCTTGGACCACTGGCTGACCTCTGATAAAAAAGCCATTTAGTTTGCAGTAGTCGTTTTGACATTTAACAGGCAAAGATACAATCAAGTTGTCAGCACATTTAACAAAATTAATGTCATTTGAAGATGGTAAGTTATGTAGAAAGAAAGAAAGGAGAAGTGGGGAAAGTACAGCCCCTTGGGGGACACCAGCTTCAGCGAGCACATAAGTCAATAATTAAATAGAAAAAAGTGACCTATTTCCCTGAACAGTTGACTTCATCCAGTCAACCTCTGATTAGAACTCCACATCACTTAATTCAGTCTTATGAAACCCTTCTGTTACAAAATACGCATCGTTTATACCCAGCACAAATGAATTCTTGCATTTTGTTATAATATCTGATTTAAAATAAATGCGTAAAACTTCACAGAAAACTTACCACACTAATAAGTGGAGAACTGGATCGTTTAGTCATCCAAGAAGTTTGATTCAGTATACTTGGAGCGTTGATATTCAAATCAACTTTACGACTGTTATATCGTTTTCGATTATGATTAATTATACTATCAATAGGCAGACCTGAATCGCCATTATCCAATTCATCTTTACCGCCATCATCATTATCTTCTTCTTTTTCTTCTTCTACAGGATTCATTGTTATAGCTGGAATATTAATATATTTACATCTCCCTTTAGTCTTTTCAACTGAACCATCATTATTATATTCATTGTTCAATGATTTTCTGCTTTGTTTTAATGAATTATTCATGGCGTCAAGGTCACCAACATCACAGCCATCATTATCATCATCATCTTCTTCTGCTTTTTCATCATCATTTTCTTCTGGTAACTGTTGACTTACAGGTGGGACATAACTCAATTGTCTTGACATTAAACCACCATAAATACCATGACGTTGGATTAATTCTGAGACTGGTGGATCAGTGAATAAATGATCTGTTGTTCGTGTACGTGAATAATCAATTGTGCATGGACCGCCTTTTTTTAAATAAAAAAAAGATATTTGACAAAAATGTAGGTAAATGAAACTTTATTGATAAATCTATTCTTAAAGTTATTTCCATTGATGATGACTTAGTCGGATTTTGTCTAATTTAGTACTCATCAATTGGATATGCCGGCAAATGAACTTTGAACCTTACAGTCAACATATAATCTATGAGCTTTATATAATGTATTGATTTGTATTGACTAGTCATCTGGGTAATCAATAAAAATTACCAGTGGAATCACTGACTTGGGCGATGACTTGTCGTCATCACGCTTGGAGGCAGTCAAATAGAAGACAGGCATATGTTGAACCGATAGAAAACTGAAAAATTTGATGTTTAAGTGTTGGTTTGTTGGGATTTGATTGGCTACAGGATTTCATCATGAGCTGACATTGGTTAGAGAACCATTGGAAAACCACCAGGGAGGAGTACTGGACAGCTGTTTCGTCCTGGTTTGAGACACCTCAGTAGCACGCACCTACCGGAGTTCGAACCCAGGACCTTCTGGTTTCAAGGCGAGCTAGCTCGTGGACCATTAATCCACGTGGACCCGATCCAATGGCTAGTCTATGGATCCTAACTTCCGCCAATTCAGGACGAAGCGCAACCCCTAGCCAATGTCTTTGGCGAGTATTTGTCCTCACACCCGACCAGCTGCACCCTACTGGCCACGGATTCTTACTAGAACCCCAGGTAACTACCTACCTGAATAGGGTAAGTCTACTTCGTGGGTCTTTCATGTCTACTGTGGAACATACTTGGAGATTTAAAGGTAGCAGTCAACAAGTTGACTGACCAACCAGTAAAGACAGGAGTTCAAGTGAACGTAGACAAGACAGTAGTGATAAAAATATCTAACCAACAAAAACAACAATCATCAAGCACTATCAAATGGAGAAATCTAAATTAAGTCAATTCATTCATTGATCTAGGAAACATTGTCTCAACTATATATGGCAGGAAGGAGAATATCAAAGCCATTTAGGATCGGAAAAGCAAGAGTGATCTTCATTACTCTGGGATCAGAGTTGATCAGATCTTCTGCATTCAGCACAAGGATCTTCCATACTAATGTCAAATCGGTGCCTCCATGTAGTTCAATCACTTGTGGTTGAAATTTTAAACAGCCCGATACAAATTTTCATCAACAGCTGTAACAACAGAAGACAAGAGTCAGGAAACAGATCGTTTATTAAGAAAATCAACACGTATTTGAATATTTTCATGTACATTAAAGATTATTGTTAATAGACAAACATAGTCCTCTGAGTGATTGTTTCTCACAGAAAGTTAATCTTTCATCTCTTTATGGCTATTTCTTGAAGGTCAGATCATCTATCTGCTAATTGTATCCGACTACACAAAGTGTGCTGTGATTGGTTTTTGAGTCAGTTTTTGTTCTTGTTTTTTTCATATGACTAATATTTGGGACATAAAGATAGACGTAAATTACTGCCTACCAATTTTTAGTCAGCAGACAGCTCTCACCACACAGCTACCTTCACTTCACAAAGAAGATCAGATGACCAACGGGAAAGGATAAGCAACCAATAAGGACTCTAGTAATAACAAACTAACCAAGAACCTATGGCCCGATAAATATACAAAGGGAAATAAACGTGATTGCATTCGGCATACACTGTGTATATCTTTAAGTAACATCAGGTATCAAGCCTTTCAGTGGAGACCTAATGCAAAACGATGAGTTGTATAGTTTGAACGTCACGTGGAGAAGACCGCATGAGGAGGAAATGAAAGCTTATGCGCAAGTGTGTAGTCAGCTAGAATGGTTAAGTGAAGATGTGCTGGTGAAGTCATATGGTACACTCGAGACCTAAAGGGTATAGCAACATAATACTACTTAAATAGCTGAATGAGTAATCAGTCTACGAAGAATAGTATAATCTTCTTTCTATTCAGAATAACATACACGCTTATATAAAAAATAATAAATAAATATAAACGTTAGTAAACAATGTTAAATGAAAAAAGAACACCTTTCAGATAGAGAAAAAACACCAATGCAGGTATGATATGTAAAAAGAATGAAAAGAAGGCTAATTATGTATTCACAAACATGTGTGCGGGTGTGGTGTATCAATATTCATTATATATATATATATATATATATATATATATATATATATATATATATATATAGCTACTTTATGTTAAGTAAATTTACTACTACCAAGTGTAATATATATATAGATCAACTAGATTGAAAAATATAGATTGAATCAAAAAGAAAAAGCACAATGACAACGAAAAAGAAAAAGAAGAATACTAGTCTACTTTTGGCACGTTACTTTTCTTTCTTTATTGTTTGATCACTTTCAATCTTCAACTTTAAAGGTTGATAGACATTGTCTATGTAAACATCACAAAATGGGTAGTTCAACCATATAGCAAATCAACATCTTGGCATTCTACTGTATTTTTAAAATAAATTTGTTTTAAACTAGAATAACTAAAAAGAAGAAAGCATACTAGTATTGCGTCACCTCACTGCCCAGCTTCAGCTGTTCAGCGGTAGAATTCCTACAAACCCAGTGCCTAGGCCAAGTTCAATTCTCAGTCAATACACTCCTACGCCTCGCCTAGTTTACTAGCCAAAAGCAAAAAAAGAGAAGTTGAGTGTGATTCTAACGACGTCACCAAATAAAAAGAACACCATCGCTACCGAAATTTCAAAGTTTACCCTCAGAGCCGAGTGTTCCACTGGGAATGCAAGGGACGGAAAGCAAATACATATATCACAGAACCCATAAGATAACTGCCTAAGCGGAGAGATAGGGATAGGTAGTTTGAGTGTCATTTGGTTGAAACATCTTACTCTCCTTACTCCCCAGTTGACCGGTAGTACTGTAACAACAGAAGACAAGGGCCAGGCAACAGATCGTTTATTGAGGAAATCAAGAGATATTTATAGATTTTTATGTACATTATTATTAGCGCTATTATTAGCAGAGAAGCAATGTATTCTGATTGGTTGTTTTCTTGCTAAAGGTTATTCTGTCACCTCTTTGTGGCCGTTTCTCGGACAATCCGGTGATATATCCGCTAATCGTATCCGCCCACGCTAAGTCTGCTGTGATTAGTTGTGGAGTTCCTCAAGGTTAGGCTTTGTTCCTGTTTTTTCTCATGACCAAGATTTGGGACGTAAACATTGACGTGAAATTGGTGCCAACCAACGTTTGGCTAGCAGACAGCTCTCACCATAGTACGACTTTGCCTAACATACCCTATCATCAATCTAAACGCCTTACACTGTGACGTTAACTACTTTTCCACTGACCTCCATCTGATCGACCTTTCTGATATAATGCCAGCTACAGGAATATTATCTTCAGGTAGAATGAACCAAAGCGTCTTTTTATCATTTCACTGGATGAAAACAATGTTACTATCCATTTGACAATACTTTCAACTTTGAAATCTGTTAATGATATGTATCCATATATATATATATATATATATATATATATATATATATATATATATATATATATGGTGGTCTCTCTTTCTGTTGCTTTCTTAGCCTGTGACCATTTCACTTTGATGAACCTGTCTCCTTTAACAATGTATATTCCCCTTATATTATACATAATATGAGTGTTTGTTGACAGTGCGTTGCTTGGTGACATATATCCATATTATATGTGTGGTTGCTGACATGTCTGCTATATTTTGCTATGTATACATGGATCGATATTCCATTATAATTAGCCAATCATGTTACGACTGTCTATTGATTTGTTCATTTTGGATATTCGCTCACACACTTGTGTTCATACACTTTTTCGGACATTCATATATATTTTTGCTCTCACACTCTTGTGTGACTTGGATTCTCCTGGTGTTTTGGAAAATAGAAGTATCATCGCAAACCTAGTGGTCTTCTGATTTCCGTCTTTCTTACGTCGGAACTATTAAATTCTCGACCAGTACATAACAATAATTTGGCGACGAGTACATAACAGTTAATGAGATCATATAATATGTGATTAACACTACTTAATCTAGTTCACTGTGAATTTTTTCCCTTCACAAAATCTCAATAGTATTTAACACACTTTTAACACAAAATAATTGAGCAAAGAATATCCTTTTCGATAAATTTCTCTTCTGGCTCTACAATCATATATATATATATATATATATATATATATATATATATACTTTTAAATACACACAATATTCTAGATTAGTAGTCAATAACAATATTAGCGTTTTTTAAATAATATCGACTTATAAAGTAAGATCAATGGAATTACAGTTCATTAAGCATGCTTAAATTATAAAGATAATAAAGATTTAACAGCAAATAGTATATCAACTAAAATTAAGGAAATTTCCACAAAAGTTGAGGATCATTCAAACCTAGATGGTCAAGGTAAGGATAATGTCTGAACTAACTTCTTATGGACGTATAAATTAGGCTTCTTAATATGGATTCTAACAGCTTCACCAATATTTACTGGTCGAGCTCTTAAGGCAAAAGTGAGATTTTTTGTTATACGGTAAATGACTCTGAAAGTATGATTAACATCAGTCTTGTGTTCTGTATCCACAAGATGAGATAGAATAGCGGTACGAAAAGATTGTGTTTGTCCTTTACTTAACCACGCAGGGTGATGTTCAGAAATTTGATGAGAAACCCGCTTAATTTAACGGCCTATGCAACTAACTCGCTCCACAAGAGCAGTTAAATTGGTAGATACACATGGAAGAAGCGAAATTAGGCAGTTCATCTTTTACTCCCAAACTCAACAACAACAACAAATTAAGACTACATATCGTGTGCTGGGTAAAATACTGTGAGTTTTCCAATGACTTTGTTGCTGATATGTATTATAAATATCTTTTGTTAGAAAGCCAGATATGATGTCTATATCAAAGATGACGTGATTCGGTAAGTGACAGACTATTCTCAGGGTTGTATACTGAAAATGTTTCTACGATCAGTCCATAAGAGCTGATACAGCTCACCAAATAAGTGAAGCTGTCAACGGATTCAATCGTTTCACAATTAAGTTTTCTTCTCAAGCTATTGAATAGCGTAGATCAGTTCTGTAACAACATACATTCGAAGAATGTAAAATACAATGTAAATATAACTCCGATTTTTGTCTAGCATGTTCAGAAGACCATGAACTGCGTCAACATTTTCACGTAAAAGGACTATAAAATATATACAGTAAGTGAATAAGACATTTCCCCTCATGGAAAATCAAATCTTCAGACCTTGAAGCCGAATTTAATCATAGGAGTCATCTTACCTAAGATATAACCATCAACTATGAACTGCTACATCAAGCATTCTTTTTAGATAGCATCCGTTCATTTGATAGCTCTCTGCAAAGCCGAATGCGCTTGTATGCGTTTGAGTTTAGTGTCTGTCATGCAGTATGACGTTGTTGTTAATATTCTGATATACAGTCATTCATTGCTTTTCTTGTGTAACATAGAGTTTCAGTAGTACATCTTTACTGCACTTGATTCTTTTCCATCACAATAGTCTGCAATTTTTCATTTCCTCGTTATAAGATCTCCTAAATACCACTCTCGGACGCCCAACCTTTCGCTTCTTACTCAGATTCCATTTAAGTTCCTGGAAATTGATGTCAATAAATGATCTCGGCATATTTCCAGGGAATTTCCACTTCCTTCTTTATATTTTGTTGAGTAATAGGTACTTGACTGGTATGTTACATGTCAGAGTTCTTTGTTGCTAATCCTTTCTCACCGATCATCTAATTTCCAGTATCAAGCAAAGGCAGGCGTTGGTGGAAGTTTACAACCTACTGAAAATGCTTTTGGTGCTAAGTCCCTCATCTATATGATGGCAATGGATTTACATCAGTCCTGAAAATTCACATCTCGTTCTTGGTACTCGGCATTTCAGATATGAATACTGATTACACAGCAGTGTTATTTTAAGTAGTTCTAGTGAGGAATAATGACCACCAGCGGAGTCCACTTTTTCGGAAATGAGTACATATACTCGCCGATTATATTGGCTGGTATTAGTCGCAGTAAAATCACGCATTTCTACAACTTGGTATTCATAGATTCGTCATTGGATCGGACTGAAGCTTCTGAATTGTCTACGAGATTGCCTTGCAACCACAAGGTCCTAGATATTCGAACCCCGGTGGTGGGTGTGTACTGATGAAGAGTTCTAAACTAGAACAAAATGGCTGTTCAGTATTCTCTGATTTCCCAACGATTCTCTAACTAATGTCAGATTTTTGATCAAACTTGGAACAACATAAGTTCATATTTAGTTCTTAAGACTACGTTTAAATTATCTTGCTTGTCTAAGCATTAGATTACGAAGAGGTTGAAAAAATCATTTCAAAGAACTTTTAATGCTATCAGATTAAAAGAGTCATGTTTACTACACGACCGATGATGATTATCGAATTCAGAGATGAAGTACTTAGACTACACACTTCTAATTGTATCTACCAATCTATTCAACTGCGCTTATGGTGGAGCTCTAGGAACTTGATTTATCATGCCTGCTCGAGAACATCTCCCAATATGACGAAATAAAGGCATAGTCGAAACCATCAACAGTTGGATACTAGATCACATGATGTAAATCGGTCACAAAACCAGCATTGAAGAATCCTTCTCTATCATATACCGAACACCAAATAAATTATCATAAACATCCAGCTACCGCATACTCCAAACACCAGAGGCTATCGTGATTCGCCTTAAACAACCAGTGCTTTGTATGCAGCAGAAGCAAGTCCTACCAGCCACTGCTATTCCCCTCGCCAGTCTTCAGTGGAGACTATAAATTCAAGAATTTGTAATATTATCCTTCCTAATTTTTCTGACATTCAGCTTATTTTAAGTTGATGCCACTGAACTGTAATCTATTGATATCATTGATTCGATGTTATTTAAACAGCAACATTCATGTTGATCATAACACTAATTCATTCACTGTTTTGAATGGATAAATAACTGTAGAACCTGATGAAGAGCAGGTTATCCAAAAAAATATTCCTTCTTCAGGATCTATTGAATAGTTTACTAAAAACGGTGTTTAAATTCTCATAACCCATATCATTTGTTGACCAAAAAAAACACTAAATGAGTATAATACTGACCACGCATAAAACAAAACCACACAACACAGACTAGTTATTCACGTGGAAATAAAACAGATGAGCACATTAAATACGTAAAAAAAACTGAATGTTTATTATCATTTCCTTCAAACTAAGGCAGTTTCATATCCTTAATTTACCTCATTTTAATTTAATTTTCTCCACCAAACTAAAAACTCATCATCTGATCAAATAGTTTTCTACATGGTACCTTCCTTTTTGTATAATGTAAATATAAAATTGTTCAAAAATTTCCCAAAGTATTGTTGTTGGTGTATGGATGTAAAAGGTAATTAAAATCATTCTTCTTCTTATTATTAATAATAAGAATGATTTATAGTCATGTTACTATTGCTGATATCGTTGTTGTTGTTTTTATTATTATTAGTTTTTTTTTCCAGTGTAACTTCTTTTCTGTAAAAGTATACCAGTAGTTTAATACCATGCCCTAAAACATCAGGTGCTCAATAGTGCTAAATTATATTTTGCTTCCTGTTCTTACTTTCTTTTTCACTAATAACCACTAGCTTATTGACTGTACAAATGAATGTTTAATAATAAAGGTATTTTTTTCAAGAGTCGATTCCCAGGAGGTGGGGGTAAGGGTGGAGACATGTTAAAGCAATACCATCCAGGAGTGAGAATGTACCAATAACCTGGAACGAATACTAGTCTTAGGATAACAGAACCTATCCTTATTATTAATGGTAGACATCATTATGACTAATATTCACAAATTGAAGTGCAAATTTCACCACAGATCTTGTTATTAAGTACTGTTTAGATAATGCATCGATATCATGTAGGCGTAAATTCTCTTTTGGTGTTTCTGTCTAAGTTTAGAGGTGTTCAGAAGCAGATGATTGACATGTATTTTAGGTGTTCATATTTGTAATTTATGCACTAAGTTTATCCTTTTCTCGAGAACAACTACTGCTTACAAATATAGACATTTTTTATCTACCATTAGTGGATATTAATCAAATGACCAGAAGGAATTACCGAAACGAAACTCTTCAGTGAACGCATCAACCAAGAGGTGATTCCTCAACAAATATGTAGGAGAAAATGTAGATGGATTGGACATACATTGACGAGACTGTCGAATGATATCGCGCAAAATGCAAGCCATTTCTTGAGCTGAACCCCAACGGGAAGTGACATGAGGGAGATCACGTGATTTGAAGGGGGGCAAATGAGAGATTATTTTCAGTCACCGAGGTATCCACATGAAGAGGACAGCGGAAAATAGGACAAAGTGGAAATGTGTTTTTGAAGCCCTGTGTTCAACTCGGAACGCAACGGAACAATAATCATATGATAATTCTATATGTGATAAATGTATCTAAAAGTTTTCAAATTTCTTCTCAAACTGTTTAGATGAAATCCTGAATCCTGTAATATTTTCATCTGGGAGCACTATAACAACTGAGTACTTGAGATAGAAAGTAGGGTGAACCGATCCCTCTGGATAACATTATAATGAATCAGTGGTTAAAACTAAGAGAACGCTTTTCAATCGCACAAGTCGTCCGAGTCCAATTATCCACCGATATAGTCTGAAACTCAAATTAGTCTTCTAGCGTTCTGTAAGCTCTCGAAAAAAAGCTTTGACGCTAGACTGGCAGCTTCCATTTAATAAAAACAACACTACCTTTACCAAAACTTTAAAACATCCAACCCTTTGTTCCATTTGGAGCTCAAAGAAAGAAAGAAGAAGGAGAATGATAACTTTCAATAGATAAATTAGAAGATTAAACATTCCCTTGGATATTCTACGTAGCAGATGTCTTGCAACTCTAATTCTCAATAAGCTATTGTATAATCAATAGTGTTCAACTGACAACCGAACAGTACAGAGGCCGCTATAAAATGTATTACTTCCGGTGAAAGATACTGTGAGGTGACCTATGAATTAACTAAAGTGTAGTTTGGTTATCAGCTCACAAAATTACAGCTACAACTAGTTTCCTGTTACTTACAGAAGGTGAATACTTAGTTGACTTCTGAAATTCGTCTCTAGGTTATTTCGGATTTGTTATTGTCCAGATCCAAATGGTTATTATACGCACAGAAATATAATTGAATAAAATATCAACAAAATGGACACTTAAATCATACAAATTAAACTTTGAAAAAGAATAGAAACAAACAAAGAAAAGGGAACTCACGTAACAAATCACTAATAAGTTGTCCATCACATGGATCAGCCATAAGGGAATACTGTTCATAATACTGACTGAAAATTAATCAAAATCGATAATAATCTTAATAAATATGTTAGCATATAATATTTTTTTTGAAAAATCGATTAAAGTGGTGCATATTTCTAAAATATATTTAAATTTCCAGAAGAGAATAATTGTGTAGTTCAGATAGATCTTGTTTTTTTTGGCTGCTTTTGTATTCCTTCAGCTGAACTGTCTCTTCATCATGTAAACTGAAAGGTTAAATAATAATTAGAATGAGGTTATAATTTTCGGCTATTCCTGATTTCATACCATTTCTGAACATGTACTGAAAAGCCTACGTCTCAGGGGAATAAACTCTTATAATAACGCTATTACCAGTCATCTCCTCGATAAGTGTCATGAGGTGGAAATCGCGAAACTCTAAAAATTATCTATAGACAAAAAGGTTCGATTCTCCTCAAGTTTACCGAAGCAATTTCTATCAAACACTTGAAGCCAGATTTATGTGTTGAGAAAGAAGCAGTTATTACTCTTTCCTTGTCCTAGTAACTGGATGTTTTTATCCTACCATTTGGTTACGTATTCTTCGGACTAAACCTCACCCCCTTTTATAGTTTGTAATTTTGTTTGTCTCTTGTTTCTATAATTTGAGTTGAACAAGGTACAATGTTACCTAATTTATTAGTAACTCTGCATCTTACGCATCTCTCGTTTATATTACGTAACTGCTCTATCATTGTATGCTTACGTTTATTTTGTTTAAACTTGAATTGGCTGTGTAAAGGGTATATAAGCGCAATTTTCTCAGCACTGTTTACTGACTGTGGAACCCTCTGTCAACTGATATCATGAAAAATCTGCAGGTATGTTAAAAGGTTTTCGTACATAAACCTCATAACTTATTTAGGCTGTAAGCAGCAGCTGATGAGGAGCCAAATAAATAATGATGGTACCATATTATTCTGCACAAACCGCTGTTGTTCTTGCTTAATTCGAATTTCGGCTATTCATTTATGTATAGGCCCAGAATAGCATACTGTGTAGTAACCCAACTCAGTACGAGTTTTCACCTATCTACCTTTCACTATCTTCCTTTGATATTCGCTTCCTATTCAGGTGTTAGTCCTTAGACAAATTGCACAGGTATTGGTCTCTTATCTAACCTGATTAAGTTTACTGAAGCCTAATTGGGATACTATTGATTGTTGCAGAAAAATCGATAAAAACTACATCCTTCTGTAGGTTGTTAATCCTGACTTCTACCCAAATTTCCCTAGCTAACAGTTAGGTGTAATAAGAATGATCACATGTTTTTGACTCATACTTCAGTTACGAAAACGCAATACTGACCACAATGGTTGTCACCTTCGTCTTTATATCAACGAAAAGAAACTAGCAGTTTCAAAGACATGATGTGTACTAGTTTATATTTATTCACGTGAACAATTCCAGATATCAGTTGAATTGAGACAATGTAAAACGCTTAGGTAAAGGAAATGAAAAGAACACCAGAGAATTTCTACAGACCCAATAGTCAAATCAATTTGCTATTGACACATATAGCGTCGGTGGCACAGTGGTTAAGACTCTCGCTGACCATGCACATGGTCCGAGGTTCAATCCTCTGACGACGCACACCTGATATCTATGGCCGGCCTGCAAAATTTCGGGTACCGATATCCATGCTGAAAATTCCATACTTGCACCAAAATACAGAGTGGAATCAAGCTGTAACCAAAAAAAAAATCAAAATTAAATAATCTTCTATAGTTTGGTTTGTAAGTTTTAGTTTTGTTTTTACGAGTTGATCACGGATTGATATCAGTTAGAGAATCATTGAAAACCAGCACTGGTGTACTGGAAAGTTGTTTCATCCTAGTCTGAGAATCATTGGCAATACGTACCCACCACCAAGACCTTCCGGTTAAAAGGCAAGCTCGTATATCATTCAGCCACTGGGACTTGATTCAATGACCAGCCCATGAATTCCAACCTATACCTATTCGGGATTTAGCGCGACCCCAACCAATGTCGTCGGTAGGACATCCATCTTCACACTTGACTGGATGAACCTCACTGGTCACGACTTCTCAGTAGAATTCCAGGTCCTGGTTTCGAAACCCAGTGGGTGAGCACTGCCGATGACTCCCAAACTAGGGTGAAACAGCTGTCCAGTACTCCTTGACTGGTTTTCAATGGTTCTCTAACTGATAACAATCAGTTATCAACTTGTAAATTTATACTTTGCTTTCTTGATTACCAGTTATGCTATCAAGCATATCACACATTGTGATCTGAATAACTTCAGTTTCTTTATGGAAATTGTAGGATAAATTTCCTCTTGAACTGTATAATATTGTGAATTTCGAATTTGATTTGCTTATTTTATTAATGCATAGTGGTTTACCTGTACAATATTTTTGCCAACCGCGTATGATGTGGTCCAGGGTTCGATCGCTGATCGACGTACTCGTAAACCTGACTAAGCCATTTGTAAGGTTGGCTATGAGGCTAGCAACCTCACCTTGTCAAAAGAAAATCCCTATTACTGAAACAACGAAGCCCTAGCTTGAAGCCTTATGTTCCACTGGGGAAGTAAAGGAATAAAATGAAAATAAATGAATGAATAAAAGATTTTATTATAATCGTTATTGTGACGAATAGTTGATCGAAATAAAAAGAGTTCAGAAAGTAATATAAGAATAAAACTTGTACACTGTGATGGAGTATAATTTCATTATGCGTAAAATTTATTTTGATAAAGACTTTCACAGTGTTACACAGTAATATTTACTGATGACCACATTTCGAGCACAATTGATCACTGCTCATAATCATATCAAGACACTATTCACACAACTTTCTAGCTTCGTTTACATAGTTCCATTATTTTCCATTGCGTGATTTGATTGGTAGTAGTATTTTCCATATTTCCAGTATGAGTGATGAGTCATTCCTATCACACGTGCTGAGTGTAGACTCGATGAACAAGGATTGAGTTATCAACCTCTCTTTCTCTCCACCTACCTATATTACTTCTCAGAATTTTAACCCTGTCCCATCCACTCTATAGAGTGACTGTGTGTTAATGCATGCAGTGCAATCGCCGGGACTTTTTTTCAAAATTACTTATTTTCTCGGAGTCAACCATTCTTACCTTAGCTAAATTCTTATGTTCCGACAATCTGACTACCCTCGATCTACTAGTTTGACCTGTGTAGTTGACCTAACTCAATCATTGCAAGGTATCTTGTATCTTATATTATTTTGTCTAATTGGGTCAACCTACAGGGTTCTTTAGCCTACAGAGCTTGTCCTGCCTGAGTGAGTTTGTAGGTTCAAATGCCACCTTAATTCCTGCTTTATTCAGAATCCTACGTAAGAAGGGTCTCAGATGTTCCCTCCTTATATGGTATAACAGTAGATGCCTTATATTCGCTTATTTATGTTTTCATTATTAGTTCCCTCACTACTTTTTATTTTGCTTTTGACGTATTCTGATCTTCCGAATGAATTTTATAGGATACTTATTTGATACCAACGTTTCTTTCAAACAGTTTAGAAAAGGATACAATGACATCAGTTTTAATATTCACAAAATATAGTATAACTGAATTTTAGATTTTCCCAACGATTTATTGAACCGAAGTGCTTGGTCTCACGTTGATATGTCGGCTTCTTGTGAAGATGCTTCGACGATGTCTAGGCATGTAATGAAAATTTAATTTGTGAATCGTGACTAGCATTTCATCCTCTTTGGGACTCGTCACTGGATGAACCAGCCAACATGTCAACATGAGACCGAGCACTTCCATTCATCAGTCAATCAACGGGAAAATTTAAAATTCAATTAAATGATTAATATGACCAGTTGCACAAGAGGTGACACTCGTGGCCCAAGTGGTCCAGTGGTTAACGCTTTGGCGTTTGAAATTAATGGCACTGGGTTTGAGCCTCGGTGAGGACATCATCACTCACTATGGAATGCAGGTACATCTAGATGACAAGTCTCAAATAGGATGGAATAAGCATCCTAGATTCCAATGCTAGTCACCATACACCAACAAATTGTATACCTTAAAAATGCTGCTATCGAATATAAGTAAGCTTTAATTTATGTTCAATTGAAAGCGTTTTCAAAGGTGAAGCTTTTATAGTCAGTCAACTTTTCTACTTCACGTTAAACGTTATCAACAATATTATATGATCAGTTCACTAGTTTTTCATGAGAAAGTTAAGTAATCTTATTGTATATGAAGACTTATAATATACCATATTAACAGAGGTTAACCTGATTCACTACGCACTAGATAGCTAGGATTTTGTTGAATTTATTTGATTGACAATTTTCCTCTAAATCTTCACAGAAGAGGTGTATACTTACGTTAACTGATTTATTTCAAATGCTTTATAGAACTATATTAAGGTCACTGAGTTATCTGTTGATAGTTTGATCTATCTATCTATCTGTCTATTCATCAGTCTGTTATATCTGAATAAACTAGAGAAGGTTATGTTCATAAGGTTATGTTTCTTCTCTACTCAACTGTAAATATTATCCTCTCACTAGTCTAATATGACCCTTCTACCAAATGAAAATATTGAAGATTAACTTAATAATAACAGAAGTATCCTGAGTGCAATAAAACAAATAGTGGAGTGAATCAAGTTTTTTTTTACTTTATTTTTTCTACGACATTAACACTTCGATATACAAGTAGGCAGAGGGAGGGGGTTGAATAAACTATTGTATATTTCAAGTTAAATCATGAAATGATATCTATCATTTAGAGAGAACCATTAGACACCAAAGACTACACAGTGGCTTCAGGAGTATGCGCCAATGACTCTACCAGGAATCGAACCTAGGAAAATCCAGTTAACTGAAGTGTGTCAATCAATGTTTCTGATGAATATACATCCTCATACTCAACTTGGTGAACGTCATTGGTTATATCTTCTTAGCAGAACTTTAGGCAACTTCATCCTATAGCCTAGTCGCTAGTGATGAAATGATTAATTTGCTTAACTTGTAAGTGATTATTTCACTAAGTGTGTCACCCGTGAATTGCAGTTGTATATATAAAGGCTTCTTATTTACAGATGGAGAATAGTCCTTTTTTGCTTTCTTGGTCATGTGTTTCTTGATAAATTTGTTTTGGATAACTATTTTCAGTCAGGGTGTTATATACAATCCTTATTTCATCTTCAGTCACCTTTGCTGAGCATACAGCTCTAGCCCCATCACCGAGGGTCTTTACTTCGTTCCTTTTCAGTAAAAAAGAAAATTAGTGAAGACACTCAATCACAGGGTTCGAGGTGTATCTTCAGAAGAGGTAAGTGAGGGAATTAACTATCCAGAAAAGTTCCTCCAGAAACACATAACCAAGAAAGCAGAAAAGAACTATTCTACATCTGTAAATAAGAAACCTTTATATATACAACTGCAATTCACGGGTGATACAAATACCTAACGAGATAATTACGAAGAAGTTAAGAAAATCAGTTCAAAGAACTTTTAATGCAGACAAACTACAAGTTATGTTTACTACACGACCGGTGGTGACTCCTGAATGGAAAGATGAAGTACCTAGACTAGCCACTTCTAATTCTGTCAACCAGTTCAACTGCCATTGTGGTAGAGCCAGTTATATTGGCTGTTGCTCTAAGAACTTGACTTTTCGTGGTCACTCGGGAACACCTCCCAGTATGGCTAAGTAAAGGTGTAGTAAAAACCATCAACTGTTCGATATTAGACAACCTGGTTCGAACCGGCCACAAAGACAGCATTGAAGAATCCTTCTCTATCACCTACCGGGCACCAAATAATCATCGAGGTACCGAATTCTCCAAACATCAGAGGTTATTGTTCTTCGCCTCGAATAAACAGTGCTCTGAATGTTTTTCAAACAACATTCAATTTGTTAGTAACACCAATTCATTGACTATTATTGATATATAACTGTAGAAGCTGATGAAGAGCAGGTTATCGGAAGAATACTCTTTGTTTAGTAACCATTATTTTGATCAAAGCAAAGTTAAACATTAAATAAACAAACACTGAGTGTTTCTAGCATTGGTAATTTAACAATAAAATCTTTATGTACTCATTTTATAATATTCAATACTATGGTGACTGGTCACTTCGGAGTATTCAATGTTATGTATGTATTTCTAAATAAGACTAACTGACTGCAACAAATCAGTTTTCAAAGCGATTGATCTATCAGACTTGCTACTAACTATGCTTTTATCATTCGAGACAATCGACAGAAATCTATAGGCCTATGTTTCATCTTTATTGGTAGGCGTGTGCTAGTGTATCTTCAACCTTGAAGGAAATAATTCCCCAGCAGTCTTTCAATAATGATTCAAAACATGCATCACGATAGTGAGTCGTGGTCACGTTGCGAACTGACTGGCTGAATTCAGTCACTAAAAATTAAGAATAAAACATATGACACCAGTTACTGACCACTGATCAAATTATATAACCATCGCAGTCCTACAATGGGGTGCAACCATGCGTCGGGACAAGTTATGGTAGCATTAGTTGACGTAGATTTGAGTCTTAGAAGAGGAAAGTTCTAATAAGCATTAAATCTAGGTTCATGACATCATGACAGTTGCCACCAACCTTCTTACAAGATGCAGTCGCTGATTGGCAGTGGAATCAAAGATGAATATTTCTTCCTATTTAGGACTCATTATCCGCATTTTTCTGCATTCCTCAGTCAGTGAAGATGTTTCCACTGGGTCATATTAATTTTTTAATTCAATTTCAGATTTTCTCGTCGACTGATTATACCAGAGTGTTTCACCTCAGGTTGACATGTAGGCTTCCTGTCCAAATGCTTCGACGATGTCTGGGCATGCAATTGCACAAGAGGTGGCGCTCGTGGTTCAAGTGGTCTAGGGGGTAACGCTTTGGCATTTGGAACTATGGACACTGGGTTCGAGCCTCGGTAGAAACATCTTCGCTGAATGAGGAATGCAGATAAGTGCAGATAATGAGTCCTAAATAGGAAGAAATATGCATCTTTGATTCCACCGCTAATCGCCATCCACCAACTTACTTTTCGTAGTGTTTATTCGTTTCATACTTGCCCTAGTTGGTTTGTTCCATAATGAATCTCACGACCTGTAAGGCCATGATAACCACACATCCAGAGAGAACACACGACTCACCAACATGTCAACTGATACACAGTAGTATCATAACAATATTGATGACGTGATTTAAAAAAGAAAATCAGTGGTGAGTCTACACATCACTCCCATATCACACAGTAGGCAATTTTTGAAAATAAACAAATCAATTGATAGGCTAAATACAGATCCAAATATCATTTCCTCCTTCTGTCAGGGAATTACCCAGGATCATCTTGGAAGCGCACTGTCTGTTTCCTGAGACTGACTGACCGACATTGGCGAAGTTTCGGGTAGGGGGTGTTGGTGCCCGGCATATCGGCAGCTTCGCTGGATTTTTATTCACCTGGTATTCCCAATGTATCGGGTAAAATAGCTGGTGAGAGACCCTAGATTCATTAGAAGGTATACGCTGCCTCGGTTAGCTGTTTTGTCGTGTCTACGTCTCTATTCCAACTGTAACGTCAAACACAACATTAAAACAACTGTTGTTAATCAACCCTTGTATTCATCTACTTTGTCCTGTGACCAGTAGGGTGCAGCGGGTCGGGTGTGAGGACAAATACTCGTCGAAGACATTGGCTAGCGGTTGCGCTATTTCGTGAATTGGCAGAAGTTAGAATTCAAGGACCGTTGGTTCGGGTCCCAGTGGCTTAATGGTATACGAGTTCGCCTTGTAACCGAAAGGTCCCGGGTTCGAACCGTGGCGGTGGGTGCGTACTGCTGAAGAGTCCCAAACTAGGACGAAACAGATGTCCAGTACTCCCAGGTTTTCCAATGGTTCTCCAACTAATGTCAGCTCATGATGAAATCCTGAAACCAATCAAATCCCTACAAACCAACACTTAAATACTTTGTCCTCTGTTCTGTAGTCTCTAGTAAACACAGTTGTCCTCACTTGGAAGGATTTAGGGGCATTTGGCAAATCACTTGCAGACAGCTTAGATATTAAACTGTCTAGCGTGGTTCGTAGTCCCCTCCAACTCATCAGCGATTGATATTAATGTATTCTATCCTGGTGAACATATTGAGAAGAGTACGGGCTTCAAGCAACAACCATTAGAGATTAGAATCCTGAATGAAGCCTCAGTCTGTCCTCTCTCTCTCTCTGTCTCTGTCTTACCTCGATTAAGAAAAAGCCTTGATCAAAATAATTGCTTACACAATTCCTAACACTGAAAACAGAAGTGTACCACACAGTGTATAGCAGAGTGCTGAACAACTTAGCTTGCGTAATAGACATGAGTGAATAGCTACAATCAAAGGGATCAAAATAGTGTTTACGAGCCTCCCAACTGCCTTTGCTTTAGTGTCAAACCACTAAGAAAACAAAACCTCATACACTTATCAAAACTTAAAGTTATACACAATGATAATAATAAGATGTGATAATGTGTATTGATTTCTACAAATGTGCATATAAAAAGTAGTAGATTTCAACATAACGTGACTGAAAAACACACACACACAGACTCATGCATGAAACAGAACCGCAAATACAACCACTCAAACAAGTTTAGACAAGAAATAAATATCGCTAAAAACAAAACAATATATATATATTTATGAAAAAAGTAAAACCTTTTTCGTTTATATTGAACTGAAAATATGCTATTTTTAAAATTACTTTTCGCATAAATGATTTTGCTGAACTTTGTTCCATTTTTGAGATTGAAACAAAACGATTATTTATTTTTGAAAAATAAATAATGATTGGTTTTCTATGATAAATATGTTAGGATACGTTTCTGTTTTTTAATTAAGATTTCAAAAAAAAGTGAAAATGACACTGACTAACCTTACTACTTGAGTTATGAAACGTTCGTCAATGAATATTTATGGCTTTGAAATATTGAACAAGAACTGTGCCACATAAACATTACACGGTGAAGTGAAAATATATGCTGCATAATGGGGTATAGTTATTGGTGGATAGCGATGCGAGCCGGCATGCTTATTTCATCCCATTTGTGACTAGTCATCTGGATGCAGATAAATACGTATTGACTCAGGGCCAACATCCATCATTTCAAAACGCCAAAGCTTTATCCACTAGGCCAAAAGAGTCACCTATTAGTTGAGGTGATCTAAGCACCAGATAGCCGTTTCGATTCACATGATGTCAAGCTCACCAGCTCAGAGAGCCGAATCAGTTAACGACCCTTAGAACTGTGAATAGGCAAGTATAAATGCTTGTTGCTATATACTACTGACATGAGTAGTCGGTTACCAGGCCTATTAACCACTAGTGCTGGTTAGACAGATCGAAATGGCACCCAGCTACTCGTCAGGAAGTGCTCTGTTTCTGTTATACACTCCAGTGAAACAAAACAGTCAGGGTTCATTTGTCAAGTAATAACTATACAAGTGTAATTTATCAAAAAAAAAGCAATCAAATGATAAATATCTCATTAGGCAATTATAAATCATACATTTGCACATTCGAAAAGAAAAAGCAACAAAATTATCTGCAAACTTACGATGAATTTATTGTTAAAAAATATACAATTTTGTCTAAAACTTTTTCTAATAGAGCAACACGAATCCAAAAATTTTGAAATACAGTATCTCGACGACTGAAATTTCAAAGCAAGAGAAAAGAATCAAATGAATGGTTGATTGAAGACGATTGACATATACTCGAAAAAGTGAACAGAAAAGTGAACTAAATAAAATACTAGACTTGTAATTACAATAGTGAATAGGCCCTGCTGGATGAGATTTAATCCGTATACAATAAGGACACTATTGTTGTTTATTCGTCGCTTGTATTTTAAGTGATACGTAGTGATTCAAAACACATTGACCGACCGGTCTCCTGAATGTTTTCATCAGCTGATGTAAATTCTCCTTATTCCACTATTCCAGCAAAAAATAGGTTTATGTTTTATATTTTTCTCCCCAAACTTCAAAGTTTTTCACGCGATTGAGTTGGTTTCCTATGGTAAGGTCGTTAGCTCCACTCTCAACCCTCCCTCTTATTCCGGGCTTAGGAGAAGCTATTAAACTATGAAATTAGTAAACATAATTAGTAAACACATAATACTAAACAATTACTCAGATGAGAATATTTGGAGTAAATTTAGAGATTAGTGAGCCATAAGTCTATTCTATAAAATTAAATGTGCGTCGTTAGCACAGCAGTTAGGACGCTCGCCGACCATGCACATGGTCCCAAGTTTAGTCCCCAAACGACGCACTCCTTCATCTCGCTAAACCAGTAATAAGACAGGTAAAAAAGAAAGGTTGGGCACGTGGCTAACAATCGCATCCTGTAAAAATAATCACCACTGCTACAGAAACTATAAGCCTCTAGCTTGAAGCCGCCCTATGTTCCATTGGGAACGTGAAGGAATAAAAAAATAGCATTAAATATAAAAACATGATCGTAAATTCTTCCCCAAACATTCTTTCAGTAATTTCAGAATATCAGCATGTTAATACGAAGTGTAATTTTCGAAGACTATCCAGTTTAAAACAGACAATAAAAGCACAAAGTCGGTAGTACTTCAACAATCAGAGAAAGACTAGTCACCAATCATTGACGCTAAAACTGCGTCTGTTAATTTCAGTCTGTTTATGGAAGCGAATGCATAGGTCGTACAGTAAGTCGATTGTCTACTCGTGTGATGCAGCATTTGCCAAAGTGGTTGAAAGCAACTGAAGTTAAAGTACCTAGATGTTCAATAACAAAGCGTCTTGTAGACTACTTGTAAACCATTATTTTAACTCAATTTAACACTATTATTATTGTTACTATTATTAGCATTGCTATTATTATCAATATTATTTAGTTCGCAACTCTTGATATATTCAAGTTCTTTCACTCCCTGACAACTGATTTTTTTAAAAATTCAAGTGATGTAATTAAACTAAAATGCATTTTTATCCTAATTTGATATCCTTGTAGATGGGATTATCCAGCTGAAGAGTTCTACCGAAATTCAATGAACTCATGAAATCCTGCATGATTAGTTCTTGTTTCTTGTTCAAAATTCGTATCACGAAAGAAACAATTTCGATTATCTAGTTAAAAAGTGAGAATTTATTAGAATCTTCTTTTTTCAATTTAGTGATGTATTTGTTTTAAAGTCGTTCGATCGTGTTTCAAGATTTGCCGTTAACCTGCTGTATTTTAAAATGCTAACCTATACACAGAGCTACACTAAATCCACACTTCACATTAGAACAGGAGAAAGAAATACGCTAGAAAATAAAAAAAACGACAAAGAAAATGATAGAAAGAATTATTTGCTTATAGGTTAATCTACATTTCCTGGTGATTGATGATGTTGAGTCGAAATACACGGACACTATTGTCATTTTAGACTCTTGTAGGGATAGTTCAACAATTTCTCAGGATTAATTAACATGATCTTACTGTTGGTTGACAGTGACTATTTAGGATGCACATTTTGTTTAATTTAGGACACTGCGGACTAGTGGACAACGCTTTGGTGTTTAGGACGATGGGTTTTGGGATTCGAGTTTCAATGGAAACATTATCAATCACTGAAGAATACAGATAGGTGCAGCTGATGTGTTTCAATACAGGACGAAATGCACATCCTTAATTTTACTGCTAACCATTTTGAAAAACAAAAGGAAAATAATTCTGAGAAATATTAGAAAGAATACAAAACGTTTATCATGCTAATGAAGATGAGGCTTTAATACATCCTCAATACGAATATCAACTGTCGACTTCTGTATACTTCAAAGGAATGCAGTCAAATGGTGCGCGAACTGTTGTGGCGCTTTACTTTCATCACCCTTGAACATTTTATGACATTCAAACAAATGGTAAAAATTATCATGAGTAAGACTAGTCTATGAAGAATCAATTGACTCACGTTTTCCATTCAAACCGTAGATTAATCATATACAAAAACATTTCTGCAAATGACGCTAGAAAATATGCATGAATATAAACTTGCAGTCTGCCTATATTCTTAACACCTAATAAATATATATATTTTACAGTCAGGAGGGGACAGCACTTGTGTGTGTGATCCAACCTAATAAAATTGGATTGTACTATCGTAGTAGACGGTTGAGTTTAGACTTTTTATAAATGATTCAAAAACTGTGTGTACTCTTTAAGTTGTTAGCTAAGTTTGTCTATAAAAAGATGATGAACAGAGTCTATTTCAGATGTCTACCTGATATAGATAAAACTCACAAAATAGATGATTCCCAAAGAAAAATGTATGACAAAGGATTAAGAGGGAATGCAAATAACAAAGTTAGATGGCTGGTAGAAACACTTTTACGCTGTTATCAAGAATAGCTTAAGTGGTATGCGACATTTTAAAAAATTACAATGTGAACAAAATACTATCTAATCGACATGCCAAAAACATTCCAAGATTTTGGTAAGCACTACAAACTAAATGATGAAGTCATCGTCTCAGAGTGTTGATCAAAGTAAATCATAGACGAGTCTGTTTAATTAGCGATGTTCGATGTTAAACCTAGATTAACCATGCCATTCTGTAAACTAATTGTTAAAGTTTAGAGTTTGCTGGATATATTCCATCTATCTATCACTTTTCAGAAATCTGCTCCGTGCATCACCAAATATACTTTCAATGGACTACTGAAGACTTTCATCAGCAATCAGCCTCACCCAATAGTGACGATTAGATGATCACACTCAAAAGATAACAGATGAAGGTCTCAAGTAAGTAGCGAACTAATCAAGAAGGAAATGGAGAAGGATTGGACATAATCTGAAGAAAAATTTGAATGATATCACTCGCCAAATTATCAGGTGAACGCCGCATAGCAAGCGACGGACTAGATATTCGAAAGTAACATATAGGAGATAGTTGAAAATGGTATTCAAGAATCAAGTACAATAGAAATGCGCTTCTGAAGTCCTGTATTCCACTCGGAAGAGTTTCGTCCCTGGAGAAAGCTATTTTCACAGCCTACCAAAAGGTATAGTGGTCTGTTGTTGAGTAATAAGTGTGGAGGGGAAGGAATGTGTAACATAAGTGTGATAAACTTGTTCAGAAGTGATTTCCAAAAAATTTTCATTCTAAGTATAGGAAATAACTTTTCAACTCTCCTCAATCATCGATAATTTTATAATCAACTGTATTCCATAATAATCACTACCATAAAGCTCGGCTTTTTCCATGAAACCTATCAGATGAATATATCTCCGTTATTTATTTCATTCATCATAATATATGTCATACAATTACCGGTATTTCGGTATATATGTATATTCAATGTTTTCAACGTTGTTGTCATTCTTTTGTTTAAGTTCATGATTAATAATGAGATATATATATGTAATACAATTAAAATTCAACCGGAACTGCATCATTAACCATCTAAAAAGATGTGAAACACTAAACAAAATTATGTATGAATGACATGAAAAGTAGAAATTGAAACAATTGAAGCTTTGAATCCCTGTCTGTTTATTTTGTTCTAGTCTTTCTCTTGAAATAATAATAACTGAAATCTTAAATTATACAAATTAAATGACCAAAATGTCAACTTGGCATAAATTATATGCTGCTTCCAATTACCTTGAATAAATGAATCAGTAACCCATTTATGGCATTCATATATATATATATATATATATATATATATATGCATATAAATTAGATAGCTGGAGGCAATCGGCATCAGGAAGCTATGGACATAGGATTCGTGGTAGTTGACACTCACCAGTCAGCAAGGCGTATCTGAAACCTAGAAGAAACAACTCATGTTCCTTCTCAGATTCAAACCCGTGTCAATCTGTGGGGCAGCAGTCAGAGACGTTACCACCGAGCACTTCTGCCTCGCCATTGATCTCCTGTAAGACTGTACTGAATATTTTTTTTAATTTGACACCACTTAGTAACTAGTGTGATGTGTCTATTACTTTGTTTGGTGCAAACTGAACTCCATAAGTCAGTCTTTCAAGGTTGTAGATATGTCTTGCTGACTGGTGAGTGTCAATTATCACAAAACCTAAGTCAGGCATGACTTCCTGTCAATTGCCTCCAGCCATCTAATACCACCAGTTAAACAGTGCTTCGTAGTAGCGACTCACTTAGAATGGTGGCCACATTGAAAACTTGACTCATGACAGAATTCACTCTGTGGTAAGCAAAACACTAGACATATGACACTAGTTACTAACTGGTGTCGGATCATATATATATTTGGTTGTGATAACTTCAACTTTAGTATAACAAACAGAGACAGTTCAGTTCAACTTAGGGGTCTCAACATGTAAAATAAAAGGTGTGTGTAAAACAAACAGACTTCAGGTTTCCATTCGTTTAATAATCTGTACATGATTTTACAGCAGAATGCTCACCGGTTAGGCATTTAATGCGGGTTCGATTCACTGCTGACGCAAATCTAAACATCGACTATTTGGTAGTAAGTCCAAAAAATGAAGAAGTGGAGGTTATGTCTGCCTGTCTATTTTCAACATAAAACTTTGTACCGATATGTAGCAAATCAAGTCGCTACACTCCATGTAGCATACAAAGCAAGAGAAGAAATTGGAGGAAATGCAAAATAGAGACAGCAGACAGGGATATGAGACAAAAGAAATGCT